CTGAAGTGTAAACAAATAGATCTCTACTATGTTCTGCTAACTAGTAAGTGACTGGTAGGAAAAGTAAGTTGTCAAAAAATGGAAAGTAAGTCCGTAATAGTATGTACTGCTGGAGCTTATATAGCACGCCTAAGCGCTGTAATGCGGAGCCGAAGTGTTACCGAGTAGGTATGTAAAGATATATATGAGTGAGAATCCATGATAAAAATAAAGACAGAACAATATGCTAATAAAGGAAATGGAAATATACGCACTAGGGAGCTTGGTGGACAGTGGATGGATGCTTCTGGATGGCTGGTGCTATAGGGCACTCAAGCGCGGGAACGCGCGTGCGCGCATATACATCGCAAAGCGCGGGAATGGTGCGCACATGGCGCGTGTTGCGTGGGAAAGCTGCGCCTCATATAGGGATAGCTGCGGGTAGCGCACGGAGTGATGCTACAAGTTCGTGCTATGTACTCCTTAGTGAAAACTTGTCATATCAGACCATGAGACACACGAGTCTCTACACGGGTACAACCGGAGCATCATCAGACGAAATCAAGGTATCCTCTGGACCAAGATACAAGTACAGGTCATCGTAAAGGGCCAGTCCATCTGCCAGAGCCGGAGATGATGGATCTGGAAGTATGTGACGAATTTGCACATGTGGAATATGTACATTTGAATTGGAAAACATACCGGGAATCACATTCAACACATCCAAACCACCGGACGACCCAGAATCAGAGTCTAACTCATCATCCGGCCCAAGGTATATATCATCTAATGGATCTAAACCATGTCAGATCAATTGACTGAAATAAGAAAAAACAAAACATACCAAGGGACATCCGGGACTGGGAGGACTCATCCACATCCATTGAAGTGAATTCAGTGACCAGAGGGTCATGAAATCTGACCCCAGGTTGAGAACTCATGATATCTGATGAGCTGATGAACTGATGAACTGATTGATAACTGATAACGTCGAAGTTCAACAGATGGCCGGCGATTGCTGAAAGTTGAATCATGACCAAACAAACACAAACAATGAACGATTTTCAACATCATCCTTCAATTGTATTGTTTCTTTGAAACTTCATTCTAGTGATAACAGATTTCACCCTGCTTTCAACATTCTCACATCTCTCAACTCAATCCAAATGTCTACTCAAGTTCAATCTTCCTTGGCCGACCTCAAGGCATCCACTGCTCAACTTGTGGGCATCATTGCCGGCGCCCGGCACATCCTGGCCAGCTCAGTGGACGTCCACCTTGCTCTGACAATGCAAGTCACCACTCTTTTGGTATGTTGAACTCATCACATTAGTGTAACATTAATGTTTCTAATGTCCAGGCAGGCTGACATCATCCGGGCCTATGAGAAAGGGGAATACATCCCTGGAATTGTGGTGTCCTGCTCCAAGGAGCTGATGAGGGTGTGTTCCATGACTCCCCGGGCATTGCCCAACTGGTTCAGCATTGGCCATGATGACCCCCGGGTGGCTAGACACGCCTGGCGCAAGCAAGTCCATGCCTGGGAGGCGTTGGGTGACAATTCCTGTGATATCCCTGTTGTCCCTAATGTTTCCACTGGTCCACTGACTGTCAACCTTCCATCTCCACCTGTCCCTTCACCTGCACCTGTCCCTTCCCCCACCCCCATCATTCCCTCACCTCCGATCGTCGCCGGACCTTCTGGCAAGACGACCCCTGAGGTCCGGGACAAAGGAAAAGGTAAGGCCACCTCCGTCGACCTGGAGCCAGAAGTTGGGGGGAGCAACAAAAGGAAGTCTCTGATGATTTCCGGACACTCCTCCCAACCTCCAAAGTCGGCGATGAAGGCACACAAGTGTGTCAAGTCAAGTCAACTCCTGAAGTCGAAGCCATTTGTGGAGTCGGAAGATGATGAAGACCCAATTGTTCAGGTATGTGTTCTGGCATATTTGTGACGTGCTCTCAATTTGTTGCAGCCGATTTCGCGTGGAGTGCCAGAGGTCGTCCTTCCCCAGCACTCCACCATTGTTGTAAGGAAGCCCCAGTCGCCTCGGTCACCTGGTTCCCCCAAGAAGCAATCATTTGGGCCTGCTTCAGTAAGTCTGATTTATCCGTTTGGACCTTAAATATATGCTCATGTGTCCACAGCTGACTTCCGGCAGTTGTCCGGAGGTTACGGTGAGTCGTTCAGACTTGTCCGGACCTCCCATGTATAATTGTCACTCATTCCCATTACATTAGAAATCTCCCATCAGTCATCCGGAGGCTCGCATCAGTCATCTGGAGGATCGGGGCAGTCGTCCGGAGGCTTGGGTAAGTCTTAGAAGTTCTCCAGCAACTCATATGTGTATTCACAATTCATCAGGCAACCTCCGGCAGTTGTCCGGAAGGTGAGGAGCCCTCTGAAGATACTTCCAGTGCTTTGGATGGTGACCCGCTGGCCAATACCACATTTGATATCACCATTCCCAGCCCAGTGAGTACTCCAATTAATTCCCCTTGGTCCATCTACTAACGGATACCACAGAACAACCCCTGCCATTATTGTGTCAGGGAGAATTGGCCCTGTGCGACTCGTTTGGACAAGAGGACCAGTCTCCCCTGTTTGTCTTGCATCCACTGCTCCCCCAAGAAGATCAAATGCAACCCTGCATCTCTGGGATCCCCACCCAAATGGATCTGAGGGAAGTCTACCACCAGCCGGACGCGTTCCAAGACACCTGCCCCTGCTCCATCCAATGCTCCGTCTCCCTCCCAGTCAAGGGCCCGAACTCATAGTCAATCTCGTGGCCCGTCCTGACCTCTGGCCATCCCTGCTGCAACTACACCCCAGGTGCAGTCACGTGGTTGCAGCAAGACCATCACCATCAAGAAGACACCTGCACCTGCACCTGCACCTGCAGCTGCACCTGTCCCTACACCTGCGCCAGCTGGTAAGTCACCCAAACCCTTGATGACTGGCTGACCTAATTTTTTACTTAGCAGTCAGGTCTGCCAGTGTCGCAGTGCCTCATGCAGCACTCAATGTTCCCATGCCGGATCTCCATTCCATGGCAATCGCGATTCGGGATGGTGCAGCTCGCATCGCGATTCTTGAGGCTTGGGTGCAGGAGCAGGACGCTAGGATTGATACCCTGCAATGTTTCCATGAGAGCCTCCGGCGCACGGTAATCGATCGGCACCCTTCATTTTCACGTCCAGACACACCGGCCGATGCATCAATGTTGCTTGATCAAGGAGGTCCCCCCCGTCCATGTCACCCCTCCCCTCTGCACTTTCCAACCTCATTGATTTGGACATTTCAGTGATGGAACCCACACCCTTGATGCCTGAGCATGGATCTGCTATGGTAGGTCCCATGGTTGAGCCCATCCAAGTTCAGCCTGAGGGTCCACAATCCTCTGGTGAAATTGTGCTCCAGGATGAACCAGGCAACCTCTTGCCAGAATCCTCTGGTGATGTTGTGGTCCCTAATGAACCAGGTAACCTCCTGCCAGAATATGCTTCTCCTGATGAGGAGATGGATGTTGAGGGAAAGGTTGATCTTCCTGGTGAGGAGGTTGAGATGGCTACATAATTGCTCAGTGATAGATGTACATAAATCTTTTTCAATGCATGTTACCTATGCCACAATTGAATGATTCAATGATCACTCCCGATATCCAGAACTCAAAACTGTAGATTGAGGTAGATATCACCTGAAACCCAAACACCAGAATGTCAAATTATCAGTGCCGAACCCTGAGTCCCGGGTGCCGGGTGCCGAGTCCCGAAATTCGGAACTCAGGATTTGACATTTGAGATGAACAACATCTCTCAGACAATGTTTAAATCAACCTACGTATATCTGTAAACATTTTACTAACCCCCAATCCCCAAACCGAGATGTACCAACCCCTGAATCCCCAAACCTGAGACTGCCGGGTCTCAGGTTTCAGGGTTCGGGGGTCCCTGAACTCGGAACTCGGAACTCAGGAAATTTGGGGAGATCAATAAAATTTGATTTACAAATGAGTTTATTGACAAACACATTGACTTACCCATGTTTGAAATATATTTTGTTCTACATACCAAGTTCCAAGTTCCAGACCCCCAAACCCCCAAACCCGAGACCCAGCAGTCTCGGGTTTTGGGATTCAGGGGTTGGTACATCTTGGTTTGGGGTTTGGCACTGAAAATTTGACATATATATTTTTGTGAGTGTTGTGCTTCTGGTGTCCATGCTTATAAATAGGATATGTTGCACACCAGGGTTCAGGTGTGGGGTTTTTCCACTTCAGTCCTCAATTATTGGTCAATGCCACACATGGTCGATTCATGTTTTTGTGCTTAGGGGTTTAGATTTGGTGGTAGATGGTAGGTATGTACATCCTATGTTGGCCCACCCGTCTATATAATACATCCTACGTCAGCCCGCCCGTCTATATAATTATACCCCACCTCGGCCCACCTGTCTATGTAATAAATATTTTATCGCACCCTCGGCCCACCCGTCTATTTGATATCCCTTTTGTCAGCCCACCCGTATATGTAATACTTTTCACGTCAGCCCCCTTGTATATGTAATACACCCCACATCAGCCCACCCATCTATGTAATATTCCCCTACCTCGGCCCACCCATATATGTAATACACCCCCATCGGCCCGCCCGTCTATATAACAATATTTGCCTTACATCTCTCTTCAGCCCAGCTGTCTATAATATCCTACTCTACATATTACCCAGATGGGCCCACCCATCTCCATGAATGATCATATTCCCCCGGCCCATCTGTCAACATCAAGGATATATATATCATTGGCATACATGGGCCCACCCATCTCCATTGGAAATAATATGTGTCCTGGCCCATCCGTCATCATCAAGAATATACACAACATGGGCCCATGATCCGCTGGCCCGTATAATACGGAATTTGTCACTGAAGGGGCTCAGACTTTAATTGTAATTGTTCAACGTCTTTCACTGCTCATATGGACCAGTATGAACGACTGAGCAATATTATGCACTGCTAAGATCTAGACTATCTGCACTGCCTTGCCACGTTCTATTGCATGCTTCACAATCATAATACCTTGCTCAACAGTGTTTAATTTGTGAAATATAGCATGAGAAACACCGAGAACCTTGGGGCCAGTGGCATCCCTGAGACGAAAATTTAGTCAACATGATAAATGAAGCAAACTTAGCTTACCAGCCTGAGAAAACACCAATGTACCGACCCCTCGTAATATAGTACAAGGGCACCTTATCGTTAATGGGCACATTGAAATACTTGCCACGGTAACGATGGATGTGGGAGGCATCCACAAGAGAACTGGCTGCATTGGACGCATCCTCGTCATCGGTAGAGTCTTTCTCATCATCAGAGTCTGCCAAGAGGGTGACAGACCCATATACCCATCCTGGAGCTACATCAGGGGCAGCGGAAGGGACAGAGGGAGCCTTGGTGGTTGGAACAGGCACTGAGATATTGGTGGTAGAAGCAGCTGGGGCAGGCCCTGAAACATTGAGGAAGCTGGCATGTCAGTCATAATAAATCAACAATACTGAGAGATTCACCTTTGGGTGTATCTGGATCAGAACGAGCCAGCAACACCACTGATATGGCCATCCTGTGTTTGAGACAGAGACCCTGAAGCATATTTATCAGACCTTCCAGTTGAACAGACACCACGGTGTCAGTCTGACTGGAAGGAGACACACATTGAGTCATGATTTCGAGGCTGGATGTTGAATAAGTAGTAGAGCTGCTGTCAGTAGTAGATGATGCATCACTCTGGGATTTATAGCCCGAGAATTTGAGCACACACCCATAATCCTCGACAGTGAATACAGGCAAGTCCACAGAGATAGTCCATCATAGGCCTTCACTTGGCGTTGTTCGTCCCATATGGGGCCGGAACACATGTGAATCTTGGACAAGTTGTAATAACTACTACATCAAGTTTGCCCAATGCCCCAGTACCAGAACCATTTGGCAGGTTCCTTTCCTGTTTCATTCTTCTTGTGACGCAGCTTGTATTGTGTTGTCCACAACAGGTAGCTGGTTATAGTCTTCTCTGAGGTCAGTGGAAATGTCTGGCGCTCATTATGTGCATATTCACTTACCGCTCGATAGATTGATGTTTTGGCTAACAGCTTTACATGTGTATCATCGGTAAATGGAGCATCAGTGTCGCATCCCGGCCATAACTCTTGGTGCATTGGCCACAATGTGTCAAACTCTGTGAGCATTGTTTCAATCAAGTGTCGGGTTTCCTCAGACTTCGGATGGTGTGTCATGTAGGCTGGTAGGCGCTCTTTCAGCCACTCCACCTGAGCAGGCATAAAACGTAACACCTGTGTTCGAAAGTGCAAGGCCACAATTGAACGGGCACATGCAATCACATCTGGTTATAGATGTTTGATTATGAAGGGCAATGCCAACTGATTGTGATTTGCTCACCTTGGCATCTACATATCAAGGAGGCCGTGCTAACAGGCTGAGTCAAAGGAGACTGCATGCTGTCTGTAAGTACTTGTTAGCAGTTTTCACACTACTGTCTGCAGTTAGACTCACAAGCCAGGTGATAGGACAGAGTGAAGCAGCAGAAATCTTAGGTACAGTAAGAAATATATATATATATATTCCAAGATCCTCCTAAGGTTCTTCAGCATTTTCAGCCTTGAGATTCTTTCTGTCAGTCAAGATCCATTATGCCTGCAGGACGCCCAGTCAAGACTGCTCAAATTGAGCGAACTCAATTTGTGCCCTCCTCGTTAACTGCAGACAATGCCCCACTTTTGCACCTTCATACAGCAGGGATTACCTCTGAGGGTCGCACGAACGTCAACACAAGTTGTATTCCTGCGAGCACTATTTCTCCCCCTGACTTATCACACATCACATCCAATGAGTGGATTCTCTTTGGTGATGATTGGGATGAATGCCCTCCAGAATATATGTAAGGAGGGCTCAGCAGAACTCATTTGCGAACTGTCCTCTGACAAGCGGAAATGCACTGCTACGGTAAGTTTATTTGTCTTGTAATATCTGCAGAACTCAAATTACCCCTCAGGATGCACCATTACTAGCCTGGATCCCTGAGTGCCAGGCATTTCTAGATGAAACGCTGCACCTCAAGGGTTGTGGAAATGCAGGAGATTCATGTTTTTGTGGTCTCGCTGCACCTGTTTTCAGATGTTGGGATTGCTTTGGGATGTGAATGCTTTGCAACCAGTGTGTGCTTCACAGTCACATGAGCAATCCCTTACACAGGATTGATGTATGTACTTCTTTTATTTGCTATATTAATTAAAGACTCACAGCACCCTATCATATGTGGAGTAACTCATATTTCCAGTGCACCTCCCTGAAACAAATCAGTCTCTGCATGCAGTTAGGTCATAATCCAGGTGAGATCTGCTACAACCCTCATCCCTCTACCGGGGATGACTTCATTGTAATCGATGTCCATGGCATTCATGAGATCATGCTCGATTTCTGTGGCTGTGCAAGCAGTCAGGTGCACTACAAACAGTTACTTCGTGCTCACTGGTATCCAGCTACAACATCTGAGCCTCATACTGCTGCGACCTTCAGTCTACTCGAGCACTTCCATCTCCTCTCATTCAAGAGTAAGGTTTCCGCATATGAATTCTACCAATCCCTAGCAAGACGAAACAATAATGCAGGGTTGTTACCTATAAGGGTATGTAGCTGGTATGTATAAATACTGTGAGTACTGATATATGACTTCTAGGATCGTTACTCTGCATTCATGCATATTGTGCGTGAATGGTGTCATCTCATGCAGCTTCGTCGCGCAGGATGAGGCCATGATCCTGCTGGTGTCATCGCCACCTCTGCGGGCGAATTAGCTGCGCAATGCCCAGTGTGCCCGCACTCTGGGAAAAATATACCAGAGGGCTGGCAAGATGTGCCACTAACTGTTAGGTAAATACTAATCACATGCTAAGCAAGGTACTCAAACTGATGGGCCTCTTTTCAGGTGGAAATACACATTATTTGTTGCAATCGATGTGAACTTCCGGCTCAAATGGAAGGCAGTCTCATTGGATAACATCGACCCCAACCTCAATTCTGGGTGGGCATATTTTGTTGAGGAGGCTGCGTACAAGTCATACCTGGCAGATCAAGCCAGTGTGAAACAAGAGTGCAGCACGTGCGTAAGTCACAATGCTGTCAATTTAGCAGATACGAAGTCCTCCTGTGGTCTCGCAGTGACAGGTGTTGGGGCTGTGGACTGCGCTAGACACAACATGAAACTGGCAAACAGTGTCGGAGACAGTAGACTTGCTGGAAGCCATGCCATCAAGATTACATATTCCTCACTACTCCATGTCCATCCGGTTCTTCATTCTGAAATTCCACCTCAAAGCACACATAGAAGAGTATCAGCAGAATTTTTCATTCAATTGGACCAAACACATCGGACGAATGGACGGGAAGCTCCCAAGCATGGATGGTCCAACATAAACTGTGTCGCTTCAAGTACCAAAGAAATGGGTCCTGGGTCCCGTCGGGATACCCTCGACAACCATTTTGGGGACTGGAATTGGAAAAAAATCATAGTGTTAGGTCTGTTCTTTTTCAGTTTTATTATCCTGTACTTATTCAGGAAACTAGGCTGAACGCTCCTGCGCAAGATTCGTGAAGCTGTCAAGTGGAAAAGGGAATATGGGAAGCACTCACAGAGCTCGAGAATACCATCCAACCTACTCTCATCATTCAATGGAGGAAGGAAGTAGAAGCCTGGGAGGAGGATAATTCTAACTCCAATCCATTTGAAAGTCGTTATACTCGTGCGTAGTCTTTGTTTGTTTCAGTTCATATATTAATATCTAGCAGGTATCACACAGGCAGCAGTTTGGTTACAACTCGCTGAGCTTCAGGCTGGGACCAATGTCTCCTTGCACACTGATATATCTCCCAGCGGACTAATCACTACTGGCATGGATCTGCAAGACCAACAGTAAGTCTCCTCTGCAAGAATCAAGTTCATCACGCTAATACAAAAACCGGCAGACAGCGCCTGAAGATGGACATTGTTAGTGCGTCTCTCCACCCTACAGACAAGCAGAAGAGTAACATGCAGCTACGCATCACTACTCTGCAACGTCGTCTGGATGCATGGGCCCATGTCCAGGAGTTGTACATGCCTGTCATGTCCCAACTGCATCATCAAACATCGGACGCTAGTATGTTGAATACAGTGGAGCTAAATCCTGACACCTTCAAGCTGTGGCTGCCATCAGAACTCCAACCTATGACAGTGTGCAACGAGAGCCTGGCAGCACATGAATGGAAGTTATGCCATGCGCAAGCTCTGGATGCTCTCACCGAACTCCGATCACACCTTCGCCTTTGGTCTCTATATACATGTACAAGGATAGAAACATACATGGCCAAGCAGCTTCTACATGCACGCAGGCCATCATCAATGGTGTGGAACTGAGGAAGCAGGTTAGCGTCGAAAAGTACCGCCACGCATGCAATGCGCTCCTGACTCTCAGCCATCGACTTCACCAGTCTGGCTGGGAAATTCTCCTTCCACCACTCCTGGATTCGGATGTCCGACCTATGGGTGATATGGAGAGCCAGGGTACTGGGACCATCTCATGGATTTGGCTGGACTCACGGGCAGACAATAGCAGCTCGGAGAATGAGCAAGTTCAGGACTGTGAGTTTATGAGGCATAGTTTTATATGATGCTAACTACAATGTCATAGGTGTCCACGTGGAGTGGTGTAAAGCACATGCCTGAGTTAATCGCTGGTCAGAAGAAGTTGAGCTCTTACTAGAGGAGATGTGAAGGGTTGTAGTGTTCTTGAAGTGGCAGGTGGAGTGGTGGAGTGGACAGGCTAGTACTCGAGCCCTCGAGCTGGCTGATAAGGGAGGAGCAGTTGCATACGCATATCATCAGGCAGCACTGCATCTCTCGCTTGTAGCCTCTTTTCAGAACCTGTGGAAAGACATACCGGACCTTGTCAGTGCTGAACAACCCCACTTGTAGGACAATTTGTAGCACATCCGTTCATGTACTGTCCTTGAAACATTAGTAATCACGCATGAGTCATTGACCAAAAGAACTTAGAGACCAAAAGAACTTAGAAGAACTTAGAAGCCAATCTTATCAAGATCGCAAGGTACACCAGATGGTCCAGATCTATGAGATCAAGAAACAACATACCAGATCTGCATGCCTATGGCTAGGGGACAGTATGGCCTGGTGAGGTAATGTATTGCCTACTAGGGGACGGTATGGCCTAGGGAAGTAATGTATTACTGCACACTATACAACAGACTGATTCGTGTATTACAATATCACTATGATAAGAGTAAGTGATACATTACTATCCCAGCTACAGGTGTCCTTGTACCCATCAAGCTCTCGTTGCAGCCATGGAATAAACACCCATCGAAAGATTAAACTGAAACCATCTGCATAAGGATTGTGCAATGTAAGAAATGAACCACACACCGTTGCAAGGTGTTGCTGCAGTCATACCAGCCAGATTGAACGCCACGGTCTAGATAAATCTCAAATCCTGGAGTGAACCGGCGTCATAACTAAGACCAAGTGATTTCCGGCATTATATTTTTCTTTGTTCACATCCAGCAATGTTGTAGGGTACCTTGCAGTGTTGGATCATGCCACTGATGGAGCATGGTGTGAGCATTGGTGATACTGAAGTTCTCTGATCCTGGGTCACTCTGAGTAACCATAGGCATGTCTACAACAGTGAATCAATGGTGGGGCTATGGAACAGAGAATCAACTTACGACCAAGCTCCTGGATGGTCTCAAGGTAGTATGTTAGTATGAGTTGTGGATTCTGGTTTGAGTGCCATACTTGCATCCACATGATGCACCCAGAGAACAGCTCGATGCCAGTGTGTAATGCAAGCCCAAACCTAAGCCACTTGTTGTGCTGATTGACAGCAAACAAGTCATTAACACCTGCTGCCCAGAACCATTTTCTCCAGAGCCTACAAGCCTTGCACTGGCGAACAAGGTCGACCTCATATTTAGTGAAGTATGCCATTACTATGTTTCTGCAGCATCATAGAAAATTCAGTGGACAACATGATGCACAAGATAGCTCCTACCTTGAAACACTCATGGCTCGCTCATGAAAGAGCAAACTGACCATCTCCTGGGCCCCTGCATTGGGATAAATCTCTTGAAGATCTATCATAGCGTCGCCAATACTTTCGACAGTATGAGACTGTTGCCATGTGTGCAGAAGGCCCATTCCAACTTGTATCTGTACAAATTTCATGAGTCTAGATTAAAGTGAGCGAGCACCACAGATACATTCCAACTGGATGACTTACCCAAGTCCATAGTGTGAGGTATCATAATGATTCCATAGGTTCTGAACAATTTGCTTGTCAGTTTGTCGTGTCTTCCACAATTGAAAGATATGCGGAGAAATGACCTCAAGAGGTGCTAGAATTTGACGTCAACACAGTAGTAGTGTTGAAGAACATCAAGTACTTATGGGATGGCTTATTCTGATTTGGCATCAAACACGCAGGTGTCAATGAAGACGAGAGAGAATTGAAGCAAGCATGCACGGTCAACATTGACGGTGAACGATAGATATATAAGTGGTTTGACTTTGCCACACCAGTGGCACCACGACAGCAAATGCAGAATGCAGATTCTCTAGTATGGTGTGCACTGACTCGGACCCTTGTTCTATTCAGCAGAAGCAGCCTGAAGGGAGAATCGGCCCAGTCACCGAGGAGATTATGTGTGTCATGTGTTTAGACTGCTACTCAGTGGGCTGCTATGACCGTTCAGGTACGTAAACTCAGATTTGACAAGAAGAACAGGTAATATGATAGTGCAGAAGAAGCAGGATGGGACTCCTAACAATAACTGACTATACTCAACAGATTCCGGGATACAGATCCTAGGTGGAGGTCTAGAACTGTGACGGCCGAAGTGACAGCCGAATTACAAATTACTTACCAAAGACGCCGGGATACAGACCCTAGGTGGTCCAGAACTGTGAGTAAGCTCTTCAAAACCTCCACTTACTGCCGAATTACATCGGTCTGCAAGCATTCATCAATGGAAAGCAGACCAAGCATGCAGCTGATCATTTGCCAGGTGTTTTCTGACCCTAGGTGGAGGTCTAGAACTGTAGCGTGGATACTTCCAGTAAGCTCGTCTCTGCAAACTCATAGGAGTAGCTCAAGTGAGTTGCCACCCAGACAGATATTTTCCAAATGCATCTTGATGAGCACTTTTGTCTTAGTAGTTACTCAAGACAACACAAGCATGGTACAAGTGTTGTTTATGTTTAGTATCTCCAAGGTGTAACTTATCACTGGCGCCAGACAGATATTTTCTGAACGATATTTAATCTACTCAGCCTTGTGGTCTTGCTGTATTCTTACCACCACTATCATGTCTCAGTCTCAGTCTCGGTTTGAGCTCGTCTCCCAGTTCACTGAAGACGCATATGCTATGGAAGATTTTTTCTGTGAACGCCCTGCTTGTCAATCAAAGATTGCAAAAGGTGCTCCTTGTTTTTATGTCGCTACTATTGAACCAGGGAAACATGGCCACCATGTATGCAGTTCATGCTACACCCGCTATCAAACCAAGGCAGCCACGTCAGTTAGACCCATCAGAACTGCTGGTATGCTTAGCTTAGCATCATGGCATACAACAACTGATCAGCATTTTTTGCAGCAGCCAGTTCTCAATCCAATTCAATGTCAAATGGACCACAATGCTCCCATACTTTTCCTGACCCATGAACGATCTGCCAGGCAGTTAATGCAGCACAGAGAAAGTGTACGTCCCATCTATTCTTATCACTGTGCACTCAAACTAATTGACTACTCATACATATAGCAACAATCAATCCACCTCCTGTTGTTCCCTTCTCGCAGCCATACATATGTCAGAGTATGTGTCCTGCATCAGCCACTCATTCTGCCGGACCAGACATCACAGTCCCATTGTCATGGGGGCAGCCACAGGACATGGCTCATACTCATCGCAGCAGTGGTGCCTCGGGCTATTCAGAAAACCATGCCCACTATGGTGCTCAGCATGAGCATTGGGCAAAGCTCACATATGCACTTCCACCGATGGACGCCATCATGCTCAAGATTTCAGCTGTTCATGAGGGTGGAAAACGGAAAAACGGACATGGGGTACCAATTGGGGTATGTAGTATTGCTTATTCAGCCAGCACATCACTCACTCATTAGTCATAGAATATTCGTGAAGGCAAAAGAGATATTGATGCATGCATTGATGCTCCCGGGCTCATGGAGATCGCCTTTGATACCATCCTTCCTAAAATTCTGACTTTTGGTGCAGGTTTCTCATGGTGCATCGAGGAGTTCATTGTTCGAGATGCAATGTGGGTTGACCTCTCTACGCACAAGGCCTCAATCCCATATTTTTTGTTGCAATGCATGGTCACAAGCAAGAAGGTTTCCAAGGCATTGATGTTCAAGACCAAGCAATTTGCATTGATGGTTGTCATCCCCGAGGCTCAATGGAATGAGTATGAGGAGTGGCTTGAAAAAGCGGAGGAGGTATGTTGATTTGAGTCTCAGCCAGCATCGGTTTTGATCATCTATATGTTGCAGGTTACAATTTGTCATCAGTGTGTAGCAGTACCAACATCTGTTCCTGCCTTGGAGGTGTATCAGCGCGTAGCAGTGCTGGTATCTGTTCCTGCCTCAGAGGTGTCCCAGCCAACTATTGTGCCATCAACACATCAGCCCAGTGCCTCCACCAAGCGGTCACACAGGCAAAATCTGAGCATCTCTTCAACGTCTTCATTGCCACCTCACAAGAAACTCGCACCTGCGCAGGTTGTACCACCCAGATCCCTCTTTAGCTCACCTGATCGCAGTGATCTGAAGCAAGCACTGAGGAGTGGAGGCACCACAAGCTTGGATGTTGCACAAGGTGAGTTTGGTGTGATTTATCAGCATGTACTGTTGACTGGTTCTTTCTTGTAGTGCTCAACACATACACTGAGCACGTTCAGTTTTATCGCATCCCTACTCGTCCACTTGCAGACATTCTCAAGAATGTCAAGTATCGTTCTTATACACTGGATTCATCACAGTCTATCATTGGACAGCTGACAGTGAATGCATCCATATGCAGCATGCTAGGGGCTGGCGTATTCAAGACAGCTCATCCTGGCTGGCTTTCGCTCACTCCTCTTATGGAAAGCGGGCTGGGATCGATCGCTGGTCAGGCTGTCGCAGTCAAGTGACCATTTTACAAGGTGTATACATCCGCTGGGAACCCTTCATACAAAATAGGATGTTTTGCTCTCACTGATGAAATACCCAATGTTACAATGACCCCATCATTTTTCCATCATCACCTGCAGGACTACGCATGTACTATACTTCTTGATCCCCGTCTTACTTCTAGCGCACCTCATGTCGACCATGAGGACTCTCCTTATCTCTGACTTCCTTTTCCTGTACTTTTACAACGCCTCACGGGCTGGTCTGTGCACTCTTCTTTATGTATATAAACCCTAGCTACTTCTGTACATTTTCCTTAACTTGAATCTACTCAGTTCCTCCTGATACCAGACTAGGACCTAAGGGTGCCTTCGATCTAGCTCTTTGCGAAGAGACTAGCCACTACTCGATCACTTCGCCAGAGTTCTACCTCTGGTCGTCGTTCATTTGATACCGTACACTTGACCCTCCTTTATTGGAGTTGTTACGGAAGAACTATCTGAGTTCGTAACACCCAAGCTTTTTAGGGAAGCGAACATCTTATATTGGTCTAATTCTCTTCTGCAGCTCACATATGCCTTCATTGATCGCTGTATTACCTCTTCCACTGAATCTCCACTGTTTGAAATCCCTCATGTGCGCTTCGTCGATGCTGGCTTGGCTTTATCTTACTCTCAACGTGGTTCTAAAGCTCCTGCCAAGGGGGGCTTGAAAGTAGGGTCGTCATGTGCGGGATATCTCATCGAGGAGCTTATTGAAGGTGGACACGCTGAATTTGTGAAGTTCATTCACAATATGGACTCTAACCCTCTGCTGGATTATGACAATTATCGCTATGAAGTAGCCGTGTTCTTTGCATTCACACAGCATGTACAGTATATCAAGATGGGTGGCTTGGCTTTCATATTGGACTATCAAGGTAATTTTATTATTTGTTGGCGGCTTGATACATTGCTGATAGTAACATCCCAATAGGAAGTACAGAGCTCCTGACACACCCACAGATCCTGACACACCTGAGTGTCAATAGCATTTCACCTTGCAATGTTGATCATATTTTTCACCAGGTCAGTTGGTGAAGGGGAAGATATCTTTGGAGACAGGAATATTGAATGCACGGTTCGCATGTTTTAGAAGCAGCATAAGTGCAATAAATTTTGCAAGTGGCCAGGGTTTGGATTGGAGGCCTTTGTCGAGCAGACAGAAGAAGCAGAAGACGAAGTGGAAGATGAAGTGGAAGTGGAAGGTGCTCCGACGACTCCTTAGAGCTATGTCTGTTTGTACGTGGTATTTCTTGGCTCTCGACTTGTCTACAGCACCAAATATTGTATATATCAACCACATCTAAATTTAAAATTCTTGAAGTGTATGAGGTCCTCAGGAAGCACTTGCCTTATATGGTATGGATTTCACTGACAAATTAAGCACGGTGGTCCTAGTGCTGCCGTGGTCCGGTTCAATCCAGTTCAGAGGGTCCTGGATGAGAACTGAGAACCGGACCACAGAGAACTGTTCTCTGTGGTCCAGTTTGGTTTTTTTCTGGTCCAAACTTGAACTGAACCTGAAAATTTTCAGTGGTGAGCGCGAAAAAAACATCATTGAAATACTAGTTTACACATTGAGTAGCTACTCCAATGACATGGCTACATACCCCCCTCTGCCTCTGTAGCCGCTGATCCAAGAGCTAACTGATTTGATCTATACAAAATGGTGAGAATGAAATAAAACACAATAACAACCAATGCTTACCGTCGATGTTAGTGGGGAATGTGAACACCTGCGCATCTCGAGTGAGAGACAGCGGGCGAGAGACAGAGGGTGAGAGACAAAGGGTGAGAGACAGTGGGCGAGAGCAGCCAGCAAACATGTGAGACAGTGAGCAAGAGACAGTGGGTGAGTGAGACATGGCGAGCCAGCCAGCAAGAACAGCAAGCGAGTGAGAGGGGATGCAGTGAGGTGGTGGCCATCAACATAGGCGCAGGTTGTGTGGCGTGTGATGGGTTGTGCACTGGTAGCGATGGCATGAGATTGAGCACCAGTCCCTGAGTCAAAGAGGTAGCGGGAGGATGCTGAAGGTAGCGAGAGGGTGCCGAACTTGATGGCGAGAGGGCTCCAAAGGTAGTGAGAGGGTGCCAAAGGAAGTAAGAGGGTACTGGGAGTTAGGTTGGCACGAGAGGTGAACCATGGCTAAAACTCGAACGAGGACCGACACACTCACAGACTGCGAATGATGGGCAACGACTTAGATCAGCATGGCTCGAGCTCAAACGAGGATAGAATTAGTACTCACAATCAAGGTCACATCATTCATGGCGAAGAGAGCATTGAATGTGAAGAACTGGCTGATTGCAGTGTCACCTGAGCCAAAGGGTATTGGGAACTACATTGAAGGCAGGAAATTGAAAAGAGACTGAAGGTGCTTGTTTGGAAGCATGCGCTGAGTATGATGCGCGCCTTGACAGATTCTCCCAGTAGTAGTTGGTTGAACATTGAGTCAGTGGCACATTGTGACAGCAAGTCATGTGAGAGTTTGATTGATTAGTACTTACCTTTAAAAAGGCTAAAGGTAGCCTGGTTAACCAATAATGCAAATCCCGAAGACAACAGTTTGACGTGGAGACTGAAGTTGTCGCAGTCGAAGTCGATAATGGTTCGGAATGGTTCGGCAAGGCCAAACCAGAACGGGACCATTTGGGCCAGAATATTTCGATCCTGGAATATCCGGGACATCCAAGACATCCAACCCATGGCTGACTTAGTATCACGTGTAGTTCCCACGTACCTGATACAACAGCGATGTGTAAATGATAACCAAAATAGGTAAGTACACTCGCTGTCATATCCCATATATTCACGCTTCTCTTCCGGACTTCGGACCCTGAGATCCAGTCCGGTCCGATGCATAGATCTGCTTCTCATTTCCTGTTCATTTAATATTAAACACAGCCTATTCGGTATTTCCTCTTCCTGGTGTTTCGGCTATACTTATTACCGGTATGATTACTGATCCGTTAACCTATGCTTCATTTCCGACTCGTGTTTGATAACCTTTGCACATGCTTCGTACATAGCCTTCGGACCTTTGCTTACTTATTGTTTCGTTATCCTCTTAGTATATAAACCCGTGTATATGTCTGGTAGTACCTCAGTTCAAATATCATTTTAGTTTGTCCTCTTTCTGTCCTCCGGACTTGAGTCTTCAACTCTTGTCAAACCTCCGAGACTTCGGATCGATTCTGATAGTCTATGTTTCCAACTCTATCTTCGGATAGTCTATACTCTGTTCGTTTCTAGTCCAGATCCATCCGGATTAGTCTTATACGTTTTTCCAATATCCAGAAGTCATCCGGATATATCTACGAGACCCGTCCGGACCTTCAGATGTGTTATCATTAGTACTTTGAAATAAAGGACAAGTACTTGGGAAAGGGGCACAGTGTACAAGCTGAGGCCAAAGTTCTTCGGATCCGATCCTACAAGAGTATGACCTTAACACTCGCGCACTCACTGTGTGCATTGCCGAAACCTTCGTGCTCGCTGTTGCACACAGCTAGCTCAATTATTTTACCATTTTCACACATTTTTTCATAATTCTTTCACTGTATCATGTTATATGTCATTGAATATTAAATATTTCATATTTTTAGACCTCATAAGTGTACATAACTATGAATACTAGTAGCAGCCATGGTCACTGTGTCAGCCACGACACGCGCGGTGGCGCTGTGGGTCACATGGTATGTTGTGACTGCATTATACATGCAAGTGGGTCGGATGGGCCGGATGTCTCAGATGTCTCAGATGTCCCGGATATTCCAGGATCGAGATGTCCTCGTTTGGGCAGACCTAGAACCGAGAACCATTTTCCGGTCCGGTTCTGGCTGGTGTGAGAACCATGGACCGAACTGCGGAGAACCAGACCAAAAGTCCGGTTTGAACCATGGTTCTGGACCGGACCATGGCAGCACTAGGTGGTCCTGCTTTCCATACAGAGATCCATTGAGGGGAGGGTAATTGACATGATATCAATGATATGAAGCTACCATGATTTGGATGATTGTAGATGCTTGGGCTGACTGTTGATACGAGATATGAAGTACACGAATAAGTAGTCATTTTCAAGCGGCATCTCGCGAAGATGTCAGATGGCGATCGAGAGGGCTGTCCTACTATGTATACTGTATTAGGATGGGGAGATAACCATATCTTGTAGAGATGGAGTTCATGTCCACCGAAGTGAGTCTTCAAAGCTACATATTGGAAGCCTTGTGCTCGTTATTTGACCACATTGGGATATCACAAGACCTAGACAACAACCGAAAGTGAAAAAAGCAAGCAAGAACAAGCCCATACCAGTAGTAGCACATCCGCATAAGCTCAGTAGTATCAGTCCTAAACTGAATGAGAAGGTCAATATGTGACTACATTGGGATATCACCTAGAGATGAAGATTATCAATATCACGACTGAAAGTGCAAAAAACAAGCGCGTACTATGTAGTAGCACATTTCATCATCGTTTCTGCACGGAGACGCCCAAATCCCTTTTCGGCTCGGAGACAATGTATTTGTATATGTTTACTCAGTATCAAAGCTTCCAAAAGCCAAGAGGTGTGGGATCGAGTAGTTCAAGACACTAACCTGTTGTAACTTGGGTACCCCCTACACCTACCATGACAGTGTGATGACAGTGTTACCGATCATGCAATTTAGCCATATTAGGTAGTCGTTCGTCGTACAATGTCAAGTCAAAATGAATCAATTCAACTATCGCAAAGCAAAATAGACAGCTGCAGCGTGAAAACAAGTACATATGCGACTAGAATAGGTGTGTAAAGTAAGTAATCAAGCACTCGGTACAGAAACAGCAGTTCCAATGGTATGGTCAAGTATACTACGAGATGAGCTATGCAAATGATTGTCCGTGTGTGATGGTACTTGAAAATCTATAGTCGGTGTCTGCGAATGTCCAGATGATGTATTAGAATAATGTGAATGATGATTTGATCCGTAATGCATCGTTTGATAGGAATCGTCCTCGAAGTCCGTGATGTAATATGCAGTGTTGTCGTTGTCATTACTTGAAGCAAACCATGAGTCGTAATGTGTAGGTTTATGAGTCGTAGAATACATAATGAATGAGGTTTAAGAGAGAGAGATGCGAGTTGTTGACGAGACGCGTCGAATCGATATTGACGCATCGTAATAGTATTGATATCAATTAGTCACGTGTTCTCAAAAATCACATCCAAAATCTCACATTTAGCGGGTACCATCTTTACATGCTCGTGTTTCATTAAAATAATTATCTAGATCTATTCTTCAGTGGTAAAAACACCCCCTTTACGGTACTCGCCAAACGATTTTACGATGATTTGAGGCCGCTGGCGAGGAACTCAAAACGTATCGCTCGTAACTTCATGTGGCTATGTATTAAGGTTTTTTTGCTTATCTAAAGTCAAGCTGTGTGTTCGGGATTTTGCGAACGCACACCTCTTGCCAAAAGCTTATTGTTCCTTAGAGCTGATAGTCTTCGTTTGATAACTTCCCAACATACAAGGCTCCCAATTGGAGTGTGGCTCCGACCTTAAGCTTCGGATCGAAGCTATAAGTCAGCTCGAAAACCTGGGGCGGTTGAGTAAAATAAGGCTAAATAAGGCATCGGTGAAATTACTGATGAGTCCGAAATCATCCTACGATTAATTTTCGTCTTGCATTTGCCGCACTACCTGCCGAGCCACCTCCTTGGTCATTCCACATCGTTTCGTGAGGATCCCAATGATATCCGTCTTTTTGGGACGTCCAACGACAAATTCCACGAGCTTGCTGATGAACGAAGCAAGCCATCCTTGTCCACCGGTCCACCCTTCCATGGATCCATTGCAATGAGCCTCAACTACTCCACGGAGTACTCCACGTGACGCCTCATACTTGTCTCTATGCCTCCCATCCAGAAGTTGCGCCGCAGTGATGCATGCGTGTCCCGCGGACCTGATGTTATACTTCTCCAAGTAACACCCATTCCGCGTGTACCAGTCTTCCATCCTTGTCTCTCTTTCCAGATTTGTGACGACTAGCGCGAGCGGGACTTTTTCTTCGCAGAGAAATTCGAAGAACAACCTATAGTTGCTCTGCATGGTTTCAGTGACTCTTCCTCCACGAATACAGAAGAGCAAGAGGTTGACACCTCCACGTTCTTTCAAAGTGCTGACGAGGCCACATGCATTTGTAATTGCGGAGAGGTACTCTCCGGTTTGTAAACGGGGCTCTTCGAGGCCGACCGTATCAAACACCTTGTATCGAGACCCATTTTCGAAGGTTATCTGGTACTCCGTCCAATGCAGAGTGCAGCGGTGAGAGTCAGGCGATATGTGCGCAATCTCTTGGCCAGCCATCAAGTTGATGACGGAACTTTTTCCCGCTCCTGTTTCTCCAAAGATCACGATGTTCCGAGTCAGTGATGCTGGTGCCATCTTATGTTAGACTCGAGGTCAGTACGACCTTTCAGGTTGGATATAGTGCTACTCGTACCTATGTAGCCCACTGTGGTGTTTCCGCACTGTGCTGTTCAATGGCAATTGCCCCAGAATGATCCTATTTGTAACTGGTATTTATGATGCGAAAGGTGTTGGAGCCACGCCTCCTCGGTGCGTTTGCCATACGGAGGAATTTAGCTATTTCGATGCTTACCACGTTGTGTTCTTTGATCGGATTCTCCTGTAGTGCTACTGCAGCCCTCATAGCCGTGGTACAGGGTACAACACGTTGATTCTGGCCAAAGGCACTCGTCACAGAGCCAATTACGTCAACGCCCACTGGCAGTAGCCGTTATCCAACTCTTCAATGGATTGCAAGCGAAGTAGGCTTGTGCTCATCTCCTTTTGCAAAACTAATTGGGTCTGCCGGAGAAGATATCTGATAACCACGACTCCACAGACACAACAGGTGCAGTAGACACAAGGAGTACATGTTCACAGCAGGTTCGTGATCCGCGAGATCGGTCAATGGATGTGTTTGTTGTCTCCTGTAGGGACATCAAGCTTGAGGTCGACCATGTAACGTGGTGCTCTGTGGGGAGAGTGGAGTAAGCAAGAGCTTGCTCATAAACCCCATGCCAGGTCGTGACGTAGTGAAAACATCTCCTGACGCCCTCGCATCACACACTCCATATGATGTAACGATTGGCAGGCTGCTTCAGGCTGTGGGATACAGCAGGTATACATTCTTTCACGCTCAAGGTAGCAATGTCTTGGTCCAGAGCAGCTTAATGATCATGTTGTCAGGATTAAATGAGGGCTCAGAACGCACAATGCCTGCAGTACTGGCTGAAAGGAACTTGACTCCTCGGCAGTTAGCCACGATGACAAAGTACCCACTGTAATTTTCAGGACATACTGTCATATTCGTGCATGATATGACTAGGATTGTGAATTTGTAGTCATGTGTATTTGTAGTGTGCCCTCAGCAGGAAACGGCTATGCACCATGCCAACGCCGATCAAGCCAACCCATAAGCAATCGTGTGGAAATTTTCTTTTCTTTTCTTTGAGGAAAGTTGCAAGCATCATATGAAAGACGTAGGGCATTATCTATCACGCGCGCGTCCACCATAAAATATCGCCAATTGCTTGATCATACAACATTTCATACAGTTCCACCTCCTTAACCACTTTCACAGACATGCCATCCAATCTTCTGAATATCATCATATTTGCTTAGACTTCAAGGTCTTGCTAAATACGAATATATCAGCGGGACTCTGACAACTGCACTAGATATTACATACGTAGGCGGTGCTGTAAAACAACTTCAAAAATTGTGTCGATTAACTCCGCCTTCCTCTGAGAGCGTCTGGCCGACCCTGCTATCCAATGAGAGAAGCCTGCTTCATATGTGTGAACGGCAGAGCTCAGAGCTTCCCTGACAGCAGCTGCATTGGAAGATGCTATGTACTGCTGAAGAGCAACACGAATAGGGTAAGCTGACTCCTGCCCAAGTCTATAGCGTTGCTGGCCCCAAAGATAGAAAGCGTTTTCGAAGATAATAACGGCAGCTTATGATCAATAATCAGCAGATTCATTGCGATATGGCGTAAAGTCTCACCAGAACCAAGCTGCATAATTTTCTCCAATGTTGACGACCCGGAGCGCTATTAGTGAGCATTTGGGATAAGAATCATGTAGACGAGCTGTGAGCAATGACACATGCCGAAAATCGTAAGATGGACCACATCTCATCTTCTTCAGGGCGGTAACGCTGATGAATTATGATCAAAAGGTAAAAATGGTTGGGGATAAATATACTTGCATACTATAATTATCAACACATCAGTGCTCGAGCCCAACAGAGTATCAGCACACTCACATCCTGTCAAGGGATCAGCGACGTGTTCAGTGAGCGAGGCTCGAGCTCGATCAAGGATGAACACACTTACATACTGTCAAGTGATCAACAACGTGATCAATCAGTGAGGTTCGAGCTTGACAGAGGGAAACACACACATCCTGTCAAGGGATCAGCAACGTGTTCGATCAGCGAGGGCCGAGCTCAACAGTGGATCCACATGCTTACATGCTGTCAAGGGATTAGCGACGTGTTCAGTTAGTATGGCTCGAGCCCAATAGAGGATACACACGCTCACAGCCTGTTATAGGATTAGCAACGTGTTCGATTAGCGAGGCTCGAGCTCAACAGAGGATCAACACATTTACCAACTGTCAAAGGGATCAACGATGTGTTTGGTCAGCGAGGTCGAGCCCGACAGAGGATCAACACACTCACGGACTAGTCAAGAGACCAGCGACATGTTCGGTCAGCAAGGCTCAAGCTCGACGGAGGATCGACACACACCAACTTTCAAGGGACCAGCGATATAGTCAGTGAACGAGGCTCGGGCTCGATAAAGGATCAACACACTCACCAACTGTCAAGGGATCAGCAACGTGTTCGGTCAGCGAGCTCGAGCTTGACAGAGGACTAACACGCTCACAGCCTGTCAAGGGATCAGGGATGCGTTCTATCAGCGAGGCTCGAGCTCGACAGAGGATCAACACACTCACACCCTGTAAAGGGATCAGCGACGTGTTCGGTCAGCGAGGCTCAAGCTCGACACAGGCTCAACAAACTCACGTCCTGTCAAGGGATTAGCAATGCCTTAGGTCAGCATGTTGGCACATATGATCAGATATTAGTACTGCCTAAAAGTAAGCGCCGAATATAAATGAGGAAATTTCAAAAATTCCTACGATCTCACTGAACTATGCGGAAACCATACACCCAACTCGTTTACGATCTGGCAGTCGGATTTCCCAGATATGTGCGACGAGATTGTCTTGGAGAAGTCAAGATGCTGTGCAAGAGTTCTCAATATACAGTGAGTTATCTTTTGATAAGTGAGGTTTGAAGAGTTACATTTCGACTGCATATCTCATGCACAACTCCAAGTTGCTCCGCTGAGTTGAAACAAACATTTTTTTGAGTGTATCATCATCCAGAGTTTCGGCCGTGCGTTCGATCAGTATTCCGCAGTCTGCATCATCCTTGTCCATATCTAGTAGATGCCGGAGAACAGAAATAAGCAGTAAATTGATTAGCAGTTCGAGAATTAGTCGACTTACCAGGCAGGCATACGTGACACCTTGGAGGACGTGGATTGTTCTTGTGGTCGTACAAAAGCTTTAGTTGTGGCCCATTGGCAAATGCTTCTTTGGCATGCTGCGAGGCCAGCGTTTGAGCATCTTTTCTCGATACTCCCTTACTCGTCAGCTCTGCAAATTCATCGTCATAGAGAGCGTCGAATTTAGTGAACAACACCATTACTGCAACTGAGGGTTGGGAATGAGTCGATGATACACAATAGCAGATACAAAAGCTTACCACTTCCTGTGTCGCACTGAGAGAAAAACTTGGTTTCTGCCGCTGTGAAAGACCTTGCATCCTCATCCATCGGAATGCAGTACCTATGCAAAAGATGTGAGATAGCGCACGCCAAAAAAATCGACCAATTACTTACCATATGACATGGATTTGATCACTCAGACGTCTCTTCTTAGAACGACGTCCGATAAAAGCCTTCACCTTGTCGAATTCAAATTGTCCTCCTGCCTCAAACCCGCGTGAATCATGGAAAATGAATCCTTGGTTGCTTTGAAACACCATTTCATTCTCGATATCGTGTACCCCGCGCTGAAATCTCGTCAAGTCATGTTACCAAACAAAAAAGAACACGCCCTACCTCTCTAGATGCCATCAACACGGCGGGATCGATCTGATCTCCGGTCAATTTATAATCGTCCCAGTAGTACTGCTAGTATCATGAACCGCACCTTTTGCCCGGCCCTGTCGTATATTTCTGGGTTCTCACGTGTCTTGCAAACCCTCTGGAGGATGGTGGTTTTTCCTGCATTCGCTCTTCCTATAATGAGGATTCGGAAGCGGTCAAAATTCTGTCTTATCTCTGAGGAATCCATGATGTATGGTGGATGATATATTGATAGGTCAAGCGCTGTGGCGCACAACAGTCTAAATCGGGTAGCATCTCAGTTTGAATTTTTGTGATGGATGTCGAGTGAGTGCAGCTCCTACTAGTACTTTTACTGGATGTTAAGCTTCGCAGTCCGCATCGCTAGACTCGCTACTCTCATACTTTTATGGGATCACAGCTCACCTTGAAGCCTTTGGATTCGGACCCATGCACCGGGCCGAAAAGTCCTATGGGCTTTTACCCAAACCTTCCTTTTCCCGCTTATTAGTATCCACCTCGAAGTTCCTGTATTTCCTTCCACCCACCGAATACACTCCGGTTTCGCTCTTGTCATCAAGGAGCCACCGCACATCGAAAGCATAGGCATCCGAATCAAGAGAGGGCACGGCGAGCGAATCCTTACTTGGCTGCGTCCGAATGATGGATCCATCGATTTTCACCTAGTACATCCGGTCGTATGATAGTCCTCATCTCCCACCAAGTTAGTTCCTGCCAACCTCTCTCGTAGAGTCGTAGGCTGAGAATTAGAACATTAATGGTGTACCACCATTTAATACTCGCCAGCACCGTACGTGCATGCCATCATCACTGTATTTTTTGTCCGAGATATATTTTTGCGTTTACAGATGGAACGTGCCTGATGTCACTGGGACAGCCCTACATGCGGGGGTAATTCTCTGCCTTCAGTGCCCTGAAAAATCCCTCTTTAGGATGGTGGAGCTTGGTGAAGCTGCGATTTCAATGCTTTATCTCGCGCTCCAGGAGTAGTACAAGTGGGTTTTAACCTTTCTCTAATTGTGGTGTCGAACATGTTTCAATGCCATACGGCTCAGTGTAATGTACTATCTAGAGTTCACCCTACGTATAGGCCACTTGACTAGATGGTTGAAAAGTTGACGATTAGATGAATAAAGCTGTTGCTAAGCCAGACGCAGACGTAGAATATCCGAGTCCATCAGAAGTACGTGGAACCACCTGGAAACGATTAGTTGGATGAGCAGAAAGGAGATATCTACCATGCCGAGTTACCCATCCTCAAAGATGGGCAATACAGGATGAGAGCGATACAAGAATTGAAAATCAATTATGAATGATATCTAATAACACACAAAGTACATCTCGCGATGATTGAGTTTCTGCCTTGCTATAGCACGATTTCAACACGCGCAACAACCGTCCGCGATCTCAAAAGCCGCCACGTAGAGCAAGGACAAGGTGGAGAACTGATCCTGCGGAGATGTTGAACTCCTTGGCAGTCTTGTCGTCCGGCCTGGATCATAACATGGTCAGTTTGCATGATCTGATGGAAATCAAGGCGACCACGCACATCTGTCTCCCACCGAAGATCAACCTCTGTTGTTGTGGTGGCACACCAGACTGCTCTTCAACCTTCTCTTTGATGCGAGTAATCTGTATTCCCATGGTTCGTGAACTTGACAGCGACGAGTACGCTTGGTTGTAGATACCTTGTCTTCGAGATCTATGTCCAACTCAATCTGTCCATACATGACGGTTAGTCATGAACAGATCGCGAGAATTGGATTGGGCACCTCCTTGCCAGTGAGCGTCTAGCGGTCATCAATGTAGTGGAACGTTTGTTGAGAGTGAGCTTAAATGCTCACTTTGACTTTGATAAGCATGTTCAAAGTTGCACGCCGTGGATTATACTACGCCCCTGCTTTACTCGATGGTAGTGCGCGTGACGGTCCCACATTGAGAGGCATAGCGTTATATTCAAGTTCAAGCTCCGCGAACCCTCTTCGACCATGCCTCCTTTGCATGGCTCGTTCAACGAAGCAGCTCAGGTATGATATATGATTCCTTAATGGCCAACATTACTAGCTCCCTCAGGACACAAAGCAAGAAAATTAAACACGAGCTATATATCAAGAGCCATTTGTCTCTTCTAACTGACGCTAATATCAATCCAAATAAACGAGTCGTTGATGGTATAAAACGAGTGTGGTACGTAGTAGCTGTCCTGCCGATCAAAATTGTCGAATGCTCTAGTCCGTGCGGTAATAGTTGGTATTCCTTTGCTAGTTCGGTGTGGTATTGGTGCCTGTCCTTTTGGTGCGGCTGCGTGAAGTTTTCGACATCTCTCAAGTCCCCAAAATTAGACTCCTATCCACGGATGCATCTCCCTCTTCACTGCTCTCCTCATCCTCATCAATCCCTTCCTCCGTCCTAGACCTCTCCTTCACATACTCATGCCCCAAGAAATTCATTACACTACCAGCAACATATCAGCACGTGCCTAATACATAATGCAACAAAAAGTCACTCACTAAATTGTCCCGTCCGCGCACCCTACCACTACTTCCTCATGTGTGAGCTGCATCGACATCGGATTCTTCTCTGGCATCGCCAAGCCCGCAAACTTGGGCGGTAACGGACCAAGAAGACCTTTCATACCCACAGGTGTGGCATGAGCATGCGCTTCCCATGCGCCTGACAAAGGAATGATATTTGCATCTATATCAACGCTTGGCGTCGGGGATGAGAACATCGGGTTTGCATGGTCCGTCGTAGGCCCCGTGTCTTCATCCAATGGACCATCAAGGCCATCAATCTTGCCCTTGTCTTGATGCGTCGACATCAGAATCTGGGTGCACGATATGAACAAGTGAGGAGCAGGTTCGGGTAAGAAAATGAAATGACAGACGTACCCTCCGATCAGCCCCCGCCCGCGAACTAAACCTCGTAGCAGTAACTACCCTCCTCTTCCTAGGATCCACTGCGCCAACAGCAACATCAGGTGTCTCTACGAGCGCAACGAGCTTGGGAGGTGCAGTCAAAATTGCCGCGCGCCCGAACCGAATTGCAAACCCATCTGCACCCACCGCACCCATAGGAGATAATGGTGCACCCATCGGGGACAGCGGAGTGCCAGATCGAGGTAGTAGGGAGAGCGGAGATGGTGATATACCAGAAATTTGAGATGCGCTGATATTGGAGGAGAGAGGCGTGGAAGGTGTCCCAAGCGAAAGTCGCGATTTGGGCAAGCCCGATGTACTCACTCCGAGTGCAGACTGTCTGCGCTGGGGAGTAGACGTCTGCGTGGGCCGTATAAGGGATGAGACGGCGCGTGATTTCGGGTTAAGGGAAGAGGGCGTAGGAGAGGTAAGAGTCCTTCCAGTGAATGTAGGGCTCATTGTAGTTGTCTCGGCAGGAGTCCTCTCGTCTTCATCTTCGTTCCATTGCAGATGCAAGATCACGGATTTAGTCGCGCACTAAGGAGAAGCGAATGAAGTACGCAGACCAAAGATGAGTACAACGCTTACAGTCATCTGCGAGCCTTTGGCCGCGAACCACTGCAACATATTATTAGGTGCAGAGCCCACATTAAACAGCTTCGCATGCAACACAGGGTCGCTACCACCGAGCTCATTGAGCTTGAACTGCGAGATCATCTCTCTCCTCTCTGCGCACCATCATCAAACCATGAGCAACAGAATAAAGAGAAACTCGACAGCAAAGAAACCAGAAACTCACTAATCGAGAAAACCCGAACGATGCCATCGATAGTCACACCCACTACACGCTCCCCCTCTGCCTCTGTGCCCCCTTGGACAATCTGCACACCGATGTTAATTGTTGTCTGCTGTCCAAACCTCACGATCTTCGTCCCGGCGCGCCAATCCCAACACACGAGAGCCTTGTCAGCGCCCGCGCTGACGAGGTTCTTGGAGGAAAGTGCAACGGCGCGGATACCGTTGAGGTGTCCGGCAAGTTGTTGAAGAGGTGTGAATGTAACGGAGGAAAAAAGGTGGACGCGGCTGTGGCAATAATTTTATTTCAAATATCAGATGTACACAAATGGACGCACCCAACATCATGAAATCCAACCACGAAAACCTCTTCGGCACATGAGCTCCGAGCATGCATAATGCACTATACAAAAAAAACGACACACCTTCCTCCGCCAAGAAATCCACACAGCTCACAGGCTTCTTCACCTGCAGGCACTTTTTCATCTCGCCAGTGTCGATGTCCCAGAAACGGATAGTTTCGTCGTAGGAGCCTGAGATGAGGCGCTTGCCTGCGAAAGCATCAACGAAAGTCCTTATTTAGGGAGAGCAAAGGCAAATGTGAAGGGGAAAGGGTGACAGATGGAGCATAGCTGTGGATCAGGGTGGCTGGAGGAGCAAGACCTGCTTTTAAATACAGCTGCTGACCTTCAGCCCCCCTGATCCGCATTCTACATCTCCTACGTATAGAGTCAATGGGGCACGCAAGCACCGGAGGTAGGGCGGATGGAGGTAGAGTGGCTGTGAATCGGAGTGGCTGGAAGAGCAGGACTTGCAATACAGCTGCTGACCTTCAGCCTCCCCTGATTCACATTCTACGGCTCTTCGTCAGCATGAAAAGCCTCCCCATCCTAAAAAAAAAAGTGCCGTCCTCCCCAAAAATAATAATGACACCAAAAAACACCCGCAAAACGCCCCTCACCTCTCAATAACAACGTCGTACAGAAATTCGTATGTCCATTCAAGAAACGTATGCTCTGTGGGAGCGCATGAGCAAAATTGGACTCGCGGTGGTGCAGGGATCGGTAGAGAGGGTACCTGTGATGCAACGCATTGAAAGAATCAGTAAATGCAAGTGTTAGGCCTACAATGGAGAGGAAAAACAGGGGCGAGTACGAATCGGGGGGAAAACGAAAAGCGAGGAAAGGGAACTCACCATCCCTCACGCTGCGCTGGTGCTCTCACACGGACCGGATCATTGGCAGTCAAGCGCAGACAATGCCACTTCCACAATGCAGGATGACGAGTTGCGGTGTACCATTTTTTCGAGACCTGTCATGTGCCGTCAGTACCCATATGGTTCCGACCAGTGTCTCAAGAAAAAAGGGATCCGAGCGGAACCGAAATGCCCCAACATCCCACAAGCCCACAACAAAACACTCACCAACCCAGCCCTCACAACTTCTTTCACGCTCAACTTGCTCAAGATCTGAAGGGCGAGCTCAGGCGCGAGGAAACCGATGATGTCGAATGAGCTTTTGAGGTATTTTTGGAGGAGGAGGATTTGCAGGGGGATGTCACCTGGGAGGGTTGCTGTTGGGGTGGTCGGGGAAGAGAAGAGTTAATCAGCTAGCGCTCCTTTATGAAGATGTGCGGGACGTACACTCGAGTATGATCTGCATACTACGCGATAGAATGCAAGTGTCAGCGTCTTCAACAAAAAGTGGAGTAAAAAAGGAAAGAGAGACGAGGGAATACATCCAGAGACCATCACGTCATCTCGCCCCTGCACCAATCAGCAGGCACGACCTCCAACGACAAAACACAGGAACCCAAACCATAACAAAGAAAGACTCACACCCTCCCCCGCTTCTCCCTCCCCAACCCTCTCATAGCCCTCCTAATAGCCCTCTCATCAAGCTTCTTCATAGCATTTACCAAATCGCCGCCCTCTGCGGTCTCATCCCCCTCCACATTCCCCCAACTAACACCGTCCCAATACCCCCTCTTCCTCTCACCACAAACACAATACTCACCCCCATCCAGTTGCAAGGATCCTTGCGCCTGAGCCTGAGACTGAGAACGCAATTCTGCAAGTTGAGCTTGAAGATGATAAACCTGCGCTGCACTACTTGCGTGCGCGCGTTCGAGGAGGCGCTTGTAGGCAAGGAGTTTGGAAGTGTGGAGGGTGCGAATTTGGATAAGGGCTTGGTCGAGCTGTAGACTTGAGTTAGTGGGTTTGATAAAGAAGCGAGAGGAGAGAAGGATGAGTGGATGTATGCACGTGAAAGTAGGGTTTGGATAGTGATATGAGCGGGAATAAATGTGTGCATGTAGTGCGCGTCAGGAGGACGTGCGTACGCAACGACATTAAGGCTGCATACAATCCAATAATCGCAGACACAAAAGAGTAGACAAACGAAACACTAAAACGAAACGAACTCACCTCTTCATCGCCTTCTCCATCCACATCCGTAACCATATCAAACGTCATCCCGTCATCTTCATGATCCCATATATCCTCCAAACCCGTATCATCGTTCAGATTGATCACGGCACCATTCGTGACGCGTCCATTCACGCGTCTAGGACCACCGATGATACTCCCGGTACCATCATTAAAGACGCTTCCTATTCTGGTCCCGCCCATGGCACTTGCAGCCATACCGTTTTTCGAGGCGAGCGATTCGGACAGCAAGGCGACAGGCTCTTTACCTGCGAAGTTTGAGCCAGGAGAACGGACTTTTGGACTTGGGGAGTGTATATTTTTTGCTCCAGGGGATCGTGTCATATTGGATGTCTTTGATGGTGTACGCTGTAGCTGTGTACGAGCGAGAGGAGAGGATTTAGAGGGCGTAATGGTCAAAGGCGTGTTTGTTGAAGGTTTTGAGGGTGTGTTACTTGAATGAGGCTTAGGCGCGGAAGACGGGGGTATAGTTGTCGGAGTACTCTCCATGGAGACGGTCCTGGTCAGGGAAGCCGTTTCGCCGCTCCCAAATACTGATGTTGAATTGGAATTAGCAGAGCTTGCGAGCACACGGACTGATGGGGATGAAGGATTGTTCTTGTGCTTTGCGGGACTCGGAGATGTAAAGTTTATGGCGGGTTTTGGAGAGGCGAGGTTGACTGAAGCACGGTGTTGATGGGATGGAGTTGGGATGGATGTCTCGGAAACGACGCGTGCTCGAGATGGGGTTGATGACACCACACTTCGATTTCCATTCGAGCCTGTAGTGCTACTAGTGGAAGCAGACAAGGAACGCGGGAAAGCACTGGGCGGACCTGTGCCAGGACGCTTCAAGTGCGTCGGCATCGTGGAGAGCATGTTTGAAGTAGAATTCGAATTCGAAATTAGTTTGGCGGGCTTCACAGTCGTACAACCGCTTGCATCACTTGTGATTGAGAGTGCACGCGTCTTAAGGGAAGTACGTGTAGTGGTTGAGTTTGATGTCGTGCGCGACAACGACAAACGTGAGCGCGTTGACGTCTCAGACGGCGTCGGCATTCTAGTTCAGTGGCTTGTCAGTGCTGCGAGCAACCACAAAGTAATGAACCGCGTTCTTCCCACGTCCATACGCGTTTACGGTTTTGTACCGATTACTATATATACGTCATCTACTGAAGCTATAGACTTGGCCTCAGGACCAGTAGGACATTTTAAGCCTAGTGAACATGCAAAGATTGGGCGGCTGCAGGACGAAATATCGAGGTTAATATTATGAGTACATAATCTCGTTCGTTCCGCGGAAGCAAATGATTCCCGAACTATATTGCATAATTCCTCAGTGTAACATACAAATTACGACGATGCGATGTGCCATCCCCGCGCGTGTCTCCGGTCTCACCATCGTGAGCTTAGTAGTTAGCATCTTGTTCAACGAGCCCAAGGGCAGTTGCAGAGGGATGATAGAACACTTGAAGGGTTTGGGGTGGCTTGGAGTGTGTCAATCTAGGCCTGTCTTAGACATTACAAAATATGCGACATACCTGGTCACACCCGGTAAGGGTTCCACCTGATGATTAGAAATATAAATATTTAAGAACAGACAGTATCAGAACCACCAGCGTATAGGGACAAAGCAGACCATTTCACGACATGTTCCTCTTCCGCAGACACATCACTACCTTCCAAGAGATTCGAAGTAAAAGACACAAGGGCGATGTCAGCGATCTGTAAAATTTGGACTTCGATAAATATGCGAATTGGTCACCATCAGATCCTTGACGAACTCGTGGAGTGCAAAAGCCATCTCTTCAAGGCTCCCACGCCATTCACGTGCTATGCGCTTGAAGCCAGCACCGGGGAACCACGCAGGGATCTTTGCCACTAAGGTTATCAGGTCATCAGAAGCCAACGAAAAGGACAGAATAATATAGCTCACAGTCTACAGAATGGTAAGATATCGACCATAAAAGCACCGGGAGCTGCAGCCTCTGAGGTATGGGTTAGAACGTGGTTTGCAAGGTCAACCGAGTCACTTTTAACGGTATTGAAACGCTCTTATGGCGAGTTGCGTGCGTATCTAAGTTACCCGCCAAATCGAGAGTCTGTTCCATAGGGGATTCCAGACGCTCGACGGAGGATGGTGTAACCACCTTTGGTTTCGCTTTCTTCCTCTTCCGCGAGCGACTTGGTTTGACATGTTGATGAAATAAATGTCGGCTGTGAGTGGCATTTCGAGAGACGGTAACGTGGTGCACGGTCCGCGAGTAGATAACAAAATTAAGATCTGAATGTAGAAGTAAGATAGCAAGAAATGAAGCAGGCTGTTGCATTGTTCAAGTCAGCCAGATTCCGTTTGTCTTCCAGCATCAGTATCTTCTTGGTTAGAGTGTTTACCACGATGCGCACTAGTATCAGTCTTCTCATACCCCAGAGCAAACCGCGTCAGATAGCTCACTCTGCTCCCATTAACCAGCAAGAATCTGTGGGAGCTCGTTATATTTGTTTTCTACTGTTCGAAAGGAAAGCAAGAGGGGCTCGAAAAAAAGGCGTGAAGCTGGTCTTCTGCAATATTGAGAGTGAAGATAGTGGTCGAAGTAGGACACACATGTGACATGAGAGGCTGAGCCATAGGAAGTAAAGGTATCAGTGCACCGGACGGGCGGGATCTGCTGTGTCGTGGTCTTGGAATGAGTTATCTCATCTCAGGCTATTTCCTCTGACTCGGAATCGACTGGAAGAATTCGGGATTGGTTTGGCGGGCTTGACAGTGGTATACCCGCTGTAAACTTGTGAGCCAGAGCGCATGTATTTTGAGAGAAGTGCAAGTTTGACGTCGTGCGCGACAATACGTAGATGCGTTGAGACGACGTCGACGCCCTTGCGGCAACCTTGTGGGTACGTGCGTTTTTCCCACGTTTAGATGTATCCTTGACCGGAACAACTGAGAGACTCACTCACGGCACTATGGCCGAGTGGTTAAGGCGAGAGATTCGAATCATAGATATCTCTTACGGTTCCCGTGCGCAGGTTCAAATCCTGCTGGTGTCGCTTTTTGTCCCTGCAACCTCGTCAATGTCGAGCATCAAGCCAGTTAACCCTGAATCTTAAAAGTTGGCACCCAGCACCTTAGATGCTGTGAGCAGAGAAAGTGTTGACCATGATACGCAGCTGTGGCTGGTGAGTATTTTGTTGTCATGCCCAACGATTACTCTGACTCGAACCTCGAGCCTCGCAAGGTCAACCGGATGACACTTAAGACTGTCTTTAGAATTCAACATGGTGCTCATTAGTTCCAACGGTTGCGGTGTTTCGAGTATCATCTAGTTGTGGTACTGTCTACTTCAAGTTCGAGGTGGGCCCGAAGGTTCTCAAGTTACCATGCAGATCATGCCTTGCTCGATCGTTCGCCTTTTAGCACACCCCTGCTAGTGCAGCAGCGTGGTGGGGAGTATAAGAGTATTGCACCGGATCACAGTATCAACGCACAAGTCAAAGACCTTGAGATTCATACTTTTTTCGGGATGTATGTATTAATTGTTCCTCCCTGATGGCTGCTTCAAATCTTCAACAGTGATTATCGTATTTCCTCTCCGGAACACCAACACCAAACCAGTGCTTTATGTGGGCCAGGGGAATTTTGGCAGGGCCAGTGACACGCGGTGACTCAACCGTTCATTCCAGGTGCCTCTCGAGGAAGATGAACATGCTCCACAGCTGCAGCAGAGCACTCACCCCACGTTCTCACTGTGCGCGAGCAAGCAGCCTAGACTCATCCCATCGGGGGCACTTGCAAGTCTTCCACAATGCTCTGCACAGATAGCAAAACTCCGTCTTGCATCGGCAGCTCATATGGAAACACCCTACGCTAAGCTCAATCATCTGAGCGCAACCTGGGCAACGGGACCATCCTGAGGCGCGGCTAAGCGTGAGTACAACCTCAGTCTCTGCATCGGGAGTGCAGGAGTGGGTGAATCTTTTGTATCTCCCGCGACATTTTCCACATGTCATCGTCATGCATGTAGGGGACGGGCATGTAAAGATCTTCGAGGAACCCCCGTCATGTAATGGCCCGAGAAAACGGCTGCACGTTGATTCGACACAATAAACGCGCTTCAGCGTCCCATATTCTTGGGCTTTGAGTTCAAACTCGGTAAGGAATGCCTGCGTCAAGTGAGGCCGAACTTGCGGTAGCGGAATGTTCTGATGGCAACACCGAGGAGGATACAGGCGCTCGTCGCGCATTGCTGACCGGAATAGGTCGGTGATGCAACTGATATCGAAGAAGTGATTGCATGGTGCCAGAACTTCCTCTCCGAAGATAGGATCATGGCAAATCACACAGATGTGACCAGTTGCCCTACTTAGTATAATGGTTCGTTCGGTTTAAGCATTACACCAGTATCATGACGACTCTCACCGAGGAGGACATCTAGCCGTTATAGTCGGCGCTTGACCCGGGGTTGGTGTTGTCTGACCACTCGATACGGGCGTCAAAAGAAAGGAGTCAAGTAATTGACTCCATGTTTGCATCTTTGATCTAGTTCTAAAGTTATTGTCAGGAACTCCAGGGGAGCATTGTACTCGCGTGCATACTTTTCAATGTCGCATTGGAGAGCAACGGCCGGTGTTGGCCTGCTTAACAATGTTAGCTTGGGTGAATTCCACAATATGCAGCCTGACCTAGCTGTAGGATCAGGCTCCTCATCTCCATCAACAGCGAGTCGCTGGGCGAGTGCTAGATCAGCATTAAATTCCGCAAGTTCTCGGGCATTCTGCATCAGCAATATGAAAGCAACTTCACGATCAGAGGGCCCCTTTCCTCGACGCTCTCTGTGATCATATAGGCTCTGCAATCTCTCAACATCAGAAAGACCTAATTCAGCGACCATACGGGTAAGATCCTCATCGTTGTCTTTTTCTCTTGAATTAGGGACCGGATGTGGACCATGCAGTCGCGAGGGACCAGAGACGTTCATGGTGGCAAGGGATGAAGAACCAGCGTGATCATTTCAGTAGCCCCTAATGATATCCTGTAATTAGCTTGCTCGGACTAGTACTCCAGCTCCATTGTAAAACTCTGCCTACTATACTTGCCTAAGATAGGCGTCACTCTTATCCAGCACCGCTTACATCAGCAAATTGAGAGCCTCGCCGTTGCTCAAATTATGGGCACATATATTTATTTCTGATGTTATTGGATCCTAGGAAATATTTAACAGCAGTATAGTTTGAACTGCCAGGAAGCAGAAATAAAAAATATTCAAAACTGAATGAGATTTTCATTGTCCAATTTTTTTTGTTCTATTAAGTCAGAAAGTGGTTTACAAGGCCATGAGATGCCAGGGAATAATTTTGAAGTTCTCGACTCACCAACATTTGGCCGCTTATATAATACATCACGTGATGTGTGCCTGGGCAGGACGAGGAGGAGAAGGCAGCAAAAATCAGTGATATTACCCACAAAAAGCATCTCGCAATGGGTGCAACATCTAAAGCTAATAAGGCTCGTCTCAGGAATATTCAGTCTGCACTTTCCAGGTCCCACAAAACCACAATTGAAGATGTCTCTGACTCTGAGGAGGAGTCGGACTCGAGCTGCAGTGATTCTGAGGATGATATAGGGTTCCGCACGCTTCATTTCCGCGTATGCGCAAGGTCTTACTGGTGGCGAGGCAGCTTGGGCTAACCGTCAGTACCATGGACATCGCACTCTACCTCCCTCCATGATTCTCGAGGTTAAGGAGACACTTAGAAAGGCTTAATGCACTAGAATATAGTGTTACTGCATGTAGCATGTACTAATCACTCGTCACTCGTCACTAATCCTTCTTGCGGCAGTCTCAATTTTTGAAAATTTTCAAGTCGAAGGTTTGGCCGCGTTTAGGGTTAGGGTTATGCTTATGTAAGACGTGTTGGAAAAGAGTGACGCCTATCTTATCTATTTTCCACCACTAGTTAGGTCGGTGGGGCCGGAACAGGGGCCGGGACTTGACGGGTGTCCTAAAGAGGAAAGATCATGGCGCGGGGTTAACTTTGTTCACCGAGAGGTCACAGTTGCTCATGACAAGCGAAAATTACTGAGTATGTCTGATCAATATTCATTGATCGACAAGAAACGAGGCAAGTACTAGTAGTAATCAGTATAAGACGAGCCATTGATTTTCTAATACAAAGTCTAGGGACAGCATTTGACAGATGGTGGGAGAAGTAAAAGCTGTAGTTGAACCAAAAGTAAGAACTTACGAGAACCAGGCCCGAAGCTAGGCTGTTCGCTTTCAGGGCACTGCTCAGGATGTGATTATAAAGTACCGACATTCAGCTGGGTACTTGATTCTCCATGACCTCTACCGTCAACCATGTCCATTTGGGGCTCCTTTCTGCGCGGATGCTGAAGAGAAACATCAAACTCTCCCGAACCAGCCACTTCCGGCCTACCTCCTCGCGAGTCAACTCCTTATCGTCCTTCCCGACAGCGATATCATTCTGCTCCAGGCACTGTCAAAATTAGCCCATCTTTCAAAGTAGGACTCACCTCCTCAAGACCCCCAGCCACCGAATTGTCACGCACTACACCCATCAACGATGTTCCCTCCATTGCCACACACCCCCTCACCCACCGCATCTGCCTGGTCCCGTACGTCGATTCCAACCACATCTTCCATTTCGAGCCAATCTTCCGCAACCTCACAGACGGCGACACCCCCATTCGCATTGGTCGCCTCTCAGGTCATTCAGCTTTAGACGCCCGTTCCACGAACGAAATTACCTTTGAAACACGTGTACTCTCTCGCCTCCATGCGGAAATCTGGTCAGACAACGGCAACATTTACATCAAGGACACTAAATCATCATCAGGCACTTTCCTCAATCATGTCCACATAAGCTGTCCAGGCTCTGAGAGCGCACCATATCAGCTCAAAGATGGTGATTTCGTACAGCTCGGCGTCGATTATCAGGGCGGCATGGAGGATATCTACAAATCCGTCAGAATACAGATCGAAATCGGACGCGATTTCGCACAGGTATGTTCTCCCTTTTCTTTGTCTATTCAATCCACATTCAAGTCATTCTCGACGGGCGACATACAGCCCTGCAGTCATGTTACCAACATTGAGCTATCTAGCGATCACGGCGGCACAAACACTCATTTCCAGGAAAGTCGCCAAGAGCCCGGCAGTTGTTCATCATTCATCGTAAGTTGTTTGGCTTCGATGCGAATACTGAATGTGAACATACTTGATGCAGAAGGGCTATATTTTTAAAGGCATTGCCCTCTGCGGCAAGCAACGACTTTGGGATGCCATGGAAGCTTTTGATCTTGCTCTCTCATTTTCGAATCACAATCGAATGACTGTCGAGATCTTACTAATTAAGGTACTCTCTTCGTTATTTTTAATAGCGCGTTTGTTATACTAAGACTCCAATGTAATTTTCACCAGGCTATTGCGCTTTTCAACTCAAGTCGCCACAATGAAGCGATACGACGGGTTCAAGATTTAGCCGCCACCTGTCAGTCCTCAGAGACATTTCAGTGCCACATAGTCGATGTGAGTCCTACGTCAGACCTAACAATTTTTTTTTTCATTTTAAATATACTCGCCAGTCATACCTTCACGTGCAACGTGCAATGATTGTTTTCGATGGCGGGCACTACAGCGAAGCCGCTGATCAACTTACGGCCGGTATTACTACTATCGCCGACAGGTTCCTATGTCCAACACCTTATGAACCTATACCGGGTGAACTCATGCATAACTTGGATGGGTTCATGGATACGTTCACGGAGGTATATCACTACGAAGCTTCAGAGGATATCCCCACTGATTGATCATATGCATTGCACAGTTCTTCGGCTGGGACTTCGGTTCGTTATGGCAGACCGCCAACCAAAGACGTTGTGAAGCATTTCTCTGCGCTGATCGTGTGATTGAAGCGGCTGGGTCTCATCAGTATATGATGCTCATGATTAGCGAGGCTGTGAAGCCTGTTTATCACGAGTGGTCTGCCGGTGAGTAGTTGTGGACAATCTGAAAATCGAGACTCATTCTAGTGTCCTTCAGCCTTCAAGTACAAGTGTACTTCACGTTGTGTCACAAAGGGAGACGAAGCTGTTACTGCGAGCAATTATGAAATGGCTGTTGAACTGTATTCAGCAGGGATAAGCCTGGACTCTTCATGCGAGTCTCTTTTTACGCGCCGATGTAAGGCAAATTTGACGCGAAGGCTCTATACAGAGGCCCTTGACGATGCAGAAAAGGTGCGAGTGATGTTTATTGTCGAGCTCAAGTGCTGATACCAGCGATGCACAGGTCATTCAACTGAGCCCTTCGTCTTATACTGGGTACAAATTGAAGTATGCAGTACTTCACGAAGTACAACGCTACGATGAAGCGATTGAGGCGTTAAAAACCATGCTTTTCAAGTTGGACAATGCAATCGACCCGAAGATACGAGGTAAGCACCGCGTACCTTGCGTCGAGTAGAAGATGGCTGATCCATTCTCCAGAGTTGCGTCAGCAATATGTCAGTCCATCGGAAGCACATGACACCATTCAAAGAGCTATCCACATTCAACTAGAAAATGCCCCACTTCGTCTCATCAACACCTTCACTGGGCGTTTGTGTGATAGACAAACACAAATCAATACCTTCATTAAAAGCGAAAAGTACAAAGAAGTCTTGTCATCATTGATGGCACATGCAACCCTCCAAACGGAGCTCATCAAGGCCATAGTCACGGAATATTTCAGTTGGGTCATGTTATCGCATAGGTGGGAGAATAAAGAGCCGCGGCTGCACGACATTCAGGACAAGGACGTGTACACCTTAACTCCACTCGGAACCGTAGCAAAGCTACAAACCTTCTGCAAAACCGCTCGTGACGCGGGATTTCGCTGGGCGTGGAGCGATACATGTTGCATTGACCAGAGCAACAATTTTGAACTTCAAGAATCAGTCAACTCCATGTTCGTCTGGTACCGCCACTCAGCGCTCACAATTATCTACCTGGCAGATGTTCTGCCTTGGTCGGAACCCGGGGCACTCGCAAATAGCACTTGGAACACTCGGGGGTGGACTGTGCAGGAATTCCTTGCTCCTCACACTGTTCGCTTTTATCGAGCAGATTGGACCTTGTATCTCGATGATCGCTCTCCCAACCACAAGACGTCTCTTGCTATCATGCAGGAGTTGGAGGATTCAACAGGCATAGATGCACAAGCCCTCATTGCTTTCCGCCCGGGCATGAGAGGCGCCCGAGAGAAACTTCGATGGGCATCCAGCCGTGTCACGACTTTGCAAGAAGACATTGCGTATTCACTATTTGGCATCTTCCACGTCCACCTCCCTGTAATCTACGGCGAGAAGAGACAAAACGCGCTCGGACGACTCTTGCAGGAGATCATTGCGCATTCAGGCGACATCACCCCCCTTGACTGGATCGGAAAAGCTTCTGAATTCAATAGTTGTCTCCCAGCTGACATTACATCATACAAAGCTCCGCCATGTATGCTGTCATCTTTGCCCGAAGATGAGATGAAGATGTCTGTCTCCATGCTGCGAAACACTGTGTCAGCGGAGTTGACTTCGAAACTGTATACCCTCCTTGACAACCTCAGTGCTCCTCGTTTCGCACACTCCAGACTGCAGCTACCTTGCATCGTATTCCCAATCACCGAACTTAGGCGGAGGCGTGGTCCAGACCCGGAGACATGTTTCACTTATGACATCAAGGCAGATGGTCTTCAAGGCCTACTAATCACCTCTGAAGACAAGTTGATTCAGTTCTCGCCGACACGGCCCACTCAGCAAACATTTTTACTTGTCCGTCCATGGAACCGTCATGATCTTGGGCTGCCTGACTTTGCGGAGCCTGACTTTGCAGATGATGCACAGAGTGTGGACGATTGGACTGAGCCTGTCTCTCGAACAGACAGATCTGTCCGTGGTTCTCTTGTAGACTCTAAGCTGGCTGATTCGGAGGCTCGCTTGCGAGAGTTGAGGTTGGTTGTTCGCCTTGGACAGTCTTTTGGTGCGCTTTTGCTAGCGCAACAGCATGGTGGGGAGTATAAGAGAGTTGCTTCGGACCACCTTATCATTGCCAAGGTCAAGGACATGGCTTCTATTGACGACACGATGGACATTAGGACGCTAGAGATATTGTAGTTTGTGTACCTCCAAGCACGAAGATTGCCAATGCTACACTAGATTATTATGCATGATACACGATGTAAACATGTACATCTCCGAATTCTGTCTCTTCAACTCCAGATGTAATTGACCGTCTATCTCTAGTTTCATAATGTCGTGATGCTGCGTGTTGCAAAAAGAATGAAAAAGTGACTGTGAGACATTCAAAATATACAATTTCCCACACAGTGCAGAACTGAGAAGATCACATATCAGCAGTGCACGACCCGGACACTACTACAATCATTGCGACGCCCATTGCGGAGCGCATTATGACGCTTGCACGAGGTGTCAGTTAGCGCCGTCCTCTTTGACAAACACATCCACAACCTGAATTGCAAACAAGGAGTTACAAAATTGAACCTCGCTCGATCATCTGGCACCCCAGCCGTTCCTCTCGAGCATTACTCGCGGCTTGCAAAGACCGGTTGATGAGGTATATGTTTGTACTGATTTCTATGTTGCCAGCATTGGAGTTCTTTCAAGTTGCAGCATCAGCAAAACTTGCAAGGTATGGTTTTATCTCTGGGTCGGTAAAGGGCCAAGGCATATGGGGCCAGAATAGAGCGGGTGTTATAAAGTGGGAAGATACAGACGAGAGTTTATCTTCGTTCGAGAGGACATGGGATTGCGGTTCCCACTAGAAGTGCTTATGACAAACAAAGTTGTCCTTCCCGGCATGAACATCATCAGTACTTGACCTAACGAGAATCGTACCCTGCTCTTCACAAGGGCATTATCCTATGGTATGTCTTGCGCAACATCTCTGCAGGCAGCTTGAGTGTCAGTTACCAACAACTTTATGTATTCTTGTCATTCTCCCGAAACGATAGGCGCCTTGCGGCGTGCGCCACTGCGATAAGATGAAGTGGCACAGTTCCTTATCGCTCCCCACCGACCTGCCATTATAGCGCATGTAAGTATCTGCTCCCCTCCTGTGCCATATTCCTGCTCATCGATAACAAAAATTAGATCCAATGTCAAATCACGCCGTATCTCCACAAGCTCTTACACCTCTTGCTCGAAAGAAGGCACTTCAGGCCGAAATAACGCTCAAGGGTCATGAAGACTGGGTGAGAGGCATTGCTTTCATCCCTGGTACCCGTCTCCTCGTCACCTGCTCTGACGACAAAAGTCTTCGGCTATGGAACCTAGACACAGGACAACAAGTGGGGAAGCCCTTATTGGGTCATAGTGACTATGTCTTGAGGGTTGCAGTATCTCCCGATGGGCGCTGGATTGTTAGTGGCTCAAGGGATGGAAGCATCCTGGTATGGGATGTTCCGACAACGAAAAGCCTGACCGTGCCGGTCTCAGACACGTGCAAGGGTCATAGGAGGGACATCTGGAGTGTTGTGTTTGCGCCAGACAGCAAAACATTTGCAAGTGCATCATACGATAAAACAGTCTGCGTGTGGCAGAGGGAGACAGGCAATAGAACCCTTGGACCATTCCAAATGGGCGGTGAGGCATACTCGGTATCATACTCTCCTGATGGGAGCAAACTAGCAGCAGGCGCCGAAACACGTATCATATTATGGGACTCAACGAGCGGAGAAGAATTACTGAAGATAGAACAGCGGGCATGGCTGGTCACGTTCACTCTAGATGGTCTCCATCTCATCAGCGGGAGTTTCAACGACATTCGAATCTCACACGCTGCCACTGGAGAAATCATCAAACAATTTGATGTGCACACTGATCTTCTCCAGTCATTGGCCATTGCTCCTGATGGCACGAAATTCGCCACTGCGTCAAGCGACAAAACAACACGATTCTTCGACCTGACCACATTGGAACCTTTTGGCGAGCCACTTGAATATCCTGACGCACTGTATTGCGTCACTTTTTCTGAGGACAGCCAGTTCATCGCGACTGGTTGTGTTGATAGACTCGTTCGCATATGGGAGGTTGATTGGGTTGAGTCAGAAGAGTTTAAGCAGGCGAGCAAATTCTCATGTTGTGCTATGTTCCATACTAACCTATCATACAGTCCATGCACAAGGTTTCTAGATTTCTCAGACACACCCGCATATATACTGACTTCTGGTGACATACAGGATCGGCACCGCGCTGGGTCTTCCAAACCAGATGTACGCTTTCACACTCGTCCTTCTACACTGTCGCTGACTTCACTGCTATTGGGAAGCCTCGACCAAAATGTGCTGGAGTCCCTCGGGGGTTTTTCGATAATGTAAGACTTCATGTTGTAGTAGATTCATCACAGCCTGCTCATCTTACCCTGCTTCCAGTTCGACATGCGCTCCCAACCTCCACGTAACACTCGCACTGTTCCAACAACAACACAGCGTCATGCCGAAGGTTCCCGCATGAAACAACTCATCAATCGTCTCTCATTTCGCTCCTCTACTTCTGAAAGTCCTACTCCACGCACTCGTAAGATCGCTGTTGTGGATATCTTCGCCACACGTGGTAAATATGTATGTCTTCTCTGATGATCTTGTATCCTCTGTTATTCATAGATTCACCTGTAGCGCAATGCAAATGCTATTAGTGGAAAAAGACATCTAGCACGGCCATCACATCCTCCTCGCAAAAACGCCCGCACATCTAATGCTGGTGTCCCAAGGACTAATGCCAGCGCAGTGGGGAAGTCCAATATTACTACTGGAGCAGCCTCAGTAAGCATGCGGACCACAACACATAATGCTTCTGCAATGACTGGCGAACATTCGCCACCAGATGCTGAACTTGTTCCGGAGACAAAGTGCTTGACAGTCCTCGCCAGGTGGTTCCTGTGCGGTAGAGTCCGCTGAAATGTATAACCTACATTGCACCTCATTCTCGCATGTGTATGTACCTACCAGCTATCCTACTTACATCAGATGGGCCACCCTCTGTCCAATGCGACTGTGTTCTTTCCTGCGACAGCGGCCGGCAGTGTAGAAACTTGAAATATTTGCTAGCGTTTAACGAAAAGTATAAATGTCCTTGAGTTCTCACAGACTTTGAAATTTAATTAAAGTGAGGTCCCAAAGGAGAAACTATTCAAGTCAGAATTGACGAAACAACCTTTTAGAACTGATACGGTATCCCTTTCAATAGTCGACAAGAAACAAGGCAAGTAGTAATCAGTAAGACTCAAATGATCGATTCAGGGCTTATGTTATAAATTCTAGCAACAGCGTTTGACAGTTAGTGGGAGGTGTGAAGCTACATATAACCAAAAGCAAGAACCATCACCAAAAGTCCCAAACCTAGATAAGGTATGCTCAGGTCTTATCATCCGGTATCAGCTTCACCATAGCCACCATGGCCCATCAGCCCAGCCCAGCCCCAGGTCATCCGAGATGGTAAGATCATGAAACTGAATTTTTGCTCATTTAACCATCAGCTGATGGGTCATGCATCATGACTGACATATGATGGCTGCTGAGCAGGCCTGAACAATTTCCAGCACCTTATAGTGGCTTATTGCAGTGGTATGGTACTAGTATAAGCACATATTATTCTTGTAGTACATACTATATGACATCGGCTACGTCGCTCAGCAATTCTTTAGCTGTATCAACATCCATTTGAAATCTCCGTTTCACGAACCGCGAGAGCAAAGCGATGGCAAGATAGAGCTATGTGACACTTCGGTCTGGATGATCAGTGGGGTGCAAGTCGAGGGCCCCTTGAAAAAGAGAGATGGGGATGTCGAGGTCGAAGTATCTTCCGTCCGCTTGGCAACTAACAGACTTTGCCACGGCTAGATTGAACAGCGCTGCAGGGCGGTAGGGATGATCCATGGGACAGAGATCCGAGGCCCGTTCAAAGTGCTTTATGGATTGTTCGAGATCCCCGCTGTTCTGCATCCTGCGGTATCGTGCGAGAAGACGATGTCCGGCGTCCGTCATCAGTGCTAACACTTTCATATCACTGCATGTAACCTGCACGTTGCAGCTGTCACGTGAACCTCGCAATAAACCCTGACGTGAATCGCCCTAAGCAATTGGATCCATTTAATATCACTAACTAGAGACTCTGTCAGCAGACGCCACGGATGACTCGTGTATTGCTGGAACTCACAGAGTAAAACGAAAAATGAACGCTGATACCGTGCTGGATAGAGTCTAGTTGAAAGAAGAATAACGGGTAGTAGAACCCGATCTGGAAAAGAAAGCCTCTGCAGAATGGTTATTTGGAGAAAGTCAGGAATGTACGTTGCAGGTCTCACCCTATTATTAGGAGCACAAACGGTACATCGTGAATACATCTTCTAGCCGCCACGATATAGTTCACCGGTATCGCCGGCGGATCAAGGTGAGTTCACATGCACAAACATGCAGTTAAGAGAAATAAGCTGATCAACCCTGCGCTTATACGGACGCCGTTGGAAAAACCAAGAGGACTGTTGAGGAGGTTATTGAGCATGATCGGATGGATGATAGCACCTAGCGATGAGCCTGTAACGACGAACGTCATGACCAGTATGGCTTGGGGTGAATCATCAATATCAGCCGAGCGGAGATAGATATCACATACCAGTGATGACGACTTGTTGCACTCCACCGAGTTGCATCTCTCCCGGGTGCTGGGTGGGTTTTCAATAGCCTGGCTCCTCACTAAACAATACGCACATTATCAGGCATGTGGATGATTGGTGTTTCATATACTGGGTAGCAGTATCACGAGGTAGACAATTGATAGCAAGCGGTGCACCAGCGAAGACTTGATAATGAATTAGAGATCATATAATACAAGACCAAATGATTTCTCACCATGCCGCGTCACATAAGCCGTGTCGGGTGACATCACTGAGGCTGCAGTGAGGCGTTGGAATAGAGGCAATGCGCATATACTCACCTTTAGGTATTAAATGCAGATACACTGTGTGGAGAGATAGTAAGTACACTGTATGAGAAGGGGTGGACAGTGTTACCTTGAACAGAAATTCAGGTCATAAACTATGACCAATAGCCGCAAGAGTGGTGGTGGTGGTGGTGGTGGGAAGAGCAGTGGGTACTAGTACCGGTTGAAGAGCGAGCCCAACCCCAACAGCGCAAAAGTGGCCAAGTGGCAAAGGGTACCAAATAAAGGACTTAAGAAAATCGAGCGTGCACAGAAGAGCAGTGATACGGATTCACACATTTGGCACCGATATGGTTTCAACTGACCTGTTTTGTTGTATTGTGCATACAACACTTATTGTGAGACCCAATCGACGGGGAGGCGTGCTTGGAAGTTGGCTGAGTCCACATTGTGAGGTAGTCTGGAGTTTGCTTGGGTACGTCTGGCATGGACATCGAAGCTGTAGCGGTAAAAGAACAGGAGTCCATGATGGACTCGACCGTGACAACTTGAAGCCTCTTCTGTTAACCGGGCATTCAAAGTGGAGTCTGGACTGTATGCATCGCCGATTCGCAGAGAATATCAGGGAGGATCAAACTTACAGAAGTATATCAGGATGTTATCATAATGACAAAAGCATATCATTTGTGTAGCATACACGGGAACAACGGTAAGCTACGAACTACTCGACGTCATAATGATCAAGCGCTGGCGTCATCGTCTCAGCAGCCATCACCCATGATCCAGTAAACCTCGTGACCGTCAGCCTAATAAGGCAATACCGGTTTTCTGGACTTTTGGTGATGACTGGGTCCGAAGGCTGAGCAAGATGGTAATTATAAGTAGCATGTTCTGAATGATTCCCCATAACCTGAACCTCTACCGTACTGCCATCCATGACCATTTTGGGTTCCTTTCTGCGTGGACGCCGAAGAGAAGCCTCGAATTCACCTGAACCAGTCGCTTCTGGCTTACCTCCCAGCGAGCTAACCGTGACCCAGGCTCATCCAAGTCCTCCTTCCAGACAGCCATATTATTCTGCCCCAGGCTCTGTCCAGACAAGTCTACCACTCAATGCAGGACCAACCTCCTCAGGACCACCAGCCGCCCAATCGTCACGCACTGCACCCATTAGCAATGTTTCCTCCTCCAGTGCCTCAGTCCCCCTCACCCACCGCATCTGTCTAGTCCCACACATCGAATTCAACTATACCTTCTATTTCGAGCCAATGTTCTGCGACCTCACAGACGGCGACACCCCCATCCGCATTGGTCGCTTCTTAGATCACTCAATTCCAAACGCCAAATCCACAAACAAAATTACCTTCAAGACCCGTGTACTCTCTCGCATCCATGCAGAGATCTGGTCAGACAATGGCAAGATTTATATCAAAGACACCAAATCGTCATCAGGCACTTTCCTCAATCATATCCGCCTAAGTCCTGCAGGCTCTGAGAGCACATCATATCAGCTCAAAGATGGCGATATTGTACAGCTCGGCATCGATTATCAGGGTGGTCAAGAGGATATTTACAAATCCGTCAAGATACGGGTCGAAATCGGACGCAGCTTGCAAGTGGAAAAGATCAAGGACGATGAAGAAATGCCGAGACGTCAGGTACGCTCTCTCCCTTTTTCTCTGTCTGCTCAATTCACATTGTTCTTGGCTGTGGCACCATAGCCTCGCGGTCACGATACTACCAACAACGAGCTATCTAGTGATCACAGCGGCACAAACAATCATTCCCAGGAAAACCACCAAGGGCCTAGCAGTTCTTCATCACTCAATGTAAGTTGTTTGTTTGGCCTTGATGCATATCCTGAATTCCAGCGTGTTCTACGCAGATTCTAGCCCCTACAAATACTGCGGTTCATGATGCACGGATGGCTCAGGACTTACATCTCTTTGAAGAGCTGCTGACCAAGGAGATTAACGCAGACCGCAATAATTACCACTCCTACTGCGGTCGCTCGGTTGTGAGGGCGCGACATTTTGACTGGGAGAATGCGCTTCAAGATGCAATGACAGTAAGAACTCCTGAATCCCGATTATAACGCTATTGATGACAGGTGATATAGTCCATTGCTATTCAACCCTCATTAAAGGGATATATCTCTAAAGGTATTGCCCTCTGCGGCAAGCAACAACTTTGGGATGCCATGGAGGCTTTTGATCTCGCTCTCTCATTTTCAAAGCACAATCGAATAACTATAGAAATTTTACTAATCAAGGTACTTCCTTCACTATTTTTAATAGCATAATTCTCATACTAAGATTTCAACCAGGCCACAGCGCTTTTCAACTCAAGTCGTCACGACGAAGCGATAAGACGGGTTCAAGATCTAGCTGCCTCTACTCGTCAGTCCTCAGAGACAAATCAATGCCACATTGTCGATGTGAGTCCTATGTCAGACCTCACAGGTTGTCTCATTTCAGAACATCCTTGTCAGTTATATTTACGCATGCAGCGTGCAATGATCGTTTTTGAGGATGGGCGCTACAGCGAAGCCGCAGATCAACTCACGGCCGTTATTACTGCGAACGCCAATATGTTCCTACATCCGACACCTCATGAACCTACTTTGGATGAACCTGGGCGTAGACTGGATGGCTTCACGGATACGTTTACGGAGGTATGTCACTACGAAGCCTCAGAGGACACCATCACTGAATGATCATGGGCACAGTTTTTCGGCTGGGACTTGGATTCCTTATGGCAGACTGCCAACCAAAGACGCTGCAAAGCGTTTCTCTGCGCTGATCGTGTGATAGAAGCAGCTGAGTCTTATCAGTACACAATGCGCGTGATCGGCGAGGCTGCGAAGTCCAGTTGCCTCGAATGGTCTGTCGGTGAGTGGTTGTGGACAATTTGAAAATCGAGACTCATTCTTGTGTGCATCAGCCTTCAAGCACAAATGCACTTCACGTTGTGTCACAAAGGGAAACGATGCTGTTACTGCAAGCAATTTTGATATGGCTATCAAACTATATTCAGCAGGGATAGGGCTAGACTCTTCATGCGAGTCTCTTTTTGCGCACCGAAGTAGGGCAAATCTGAAACGAAGCCTCTACTATGCAGAAGCCCTTGACGATGCAGAAAGGGTATAGATGATATTCGTTTGTCGAGAAGGTGTACTGATAAACCGATGCACAGGTCATTGAACTGAACCCTTCGTCTTATACTGGGTACAAACTGAAGTATGCAGTGCTTCATGAAGTAGTCCGCTACGATGAAGCGATTGAGGCGTTCGACATCATGCTTTCCAAGTTGGACAATGCGATTGACCCGCAGATACGAGGTGAGCACTGAGTACCCTGTGTTAACTAGAAGTCGGCTAATCCATCCTTCAGAGCTGCGTCAGCAATATGTCAGTCCATCTGAAGCACGTGACGCCATTCAAAGAGCTATCGATATTCAACTAGAGAATGCCCCACTTCGTCTCCTCAACACTTTCACTGGGCGTTTGTGTGATAGACAAACTCAAATCAACACCTTTATCAAAAGCGGAAAATACAAAAAATTCTTGTCATCATTGATGGCGCATGCAACCCTCCAAACAGAGCTCATCAAAGCAAAAGTCGCGGAGCATTTCAATTGGGTCATGTTATCGCATAGGTGGGAGAATAAGGAGCCGCGGCTGCACGACATTCAGGACAAGGACGTGTACACCTTAACTCCACTCGGAACCGTAGCAAAGCTGCAAACCTTCTGCAAAACCGCTCGTGACGCGGGGTATCGCTGGGCGTGGAGCGATACATGTTGCATCGACCAGAGCAACAATTTTGAACTCCAAGAATCAGTCAACTCCATGTTCGTCTGGTATCGCCACTCAGCGCTCACAATCGTCTATCTAGCAGATGTTCTGCCTTCGTCAGAACCTGGGGCACTCGCAAATAGTACTTGGAACACATGAGGGTGGACAGTGCAGGAATTCCTCGCTCCTAACACCGTTCTCTTTTATCGAGCAGATTGGACTTTGTATCTCCATGATCGCTCTCCCAATCACAAGATGTCTGTCGTTATCATGCAGGAGTTGGAGGACTCGACAGGCATAGATGCACAAGCCCTCATTGCTTTCCGCCCGGGCATGAGAGGCGCCCGAGAGAAACTTCAATGGGCATCCAGCCGTGTCACGACTTTGCAAGAAGACATTGCATATTCACTATTCGGCATCTTCCACATCCATCTCCCTGTAATCTACGGCAAGAAGAGACAAAACGCGCTCGGACGACTCTTGCAGGAGATTATTGCGCATTCAGGCGACATCACTCCCCTTGACTGGATCGGAAAATCATCCGAGTTCAATAGCTGTCTCCCAGCTGACATCACATCATATAAAACTCCACCGTGCATGTTATCATCTTTGCCCGAAGATGAGATGAACATGTCTGTCTCCATGTTGCGAAATACTGTGTCGGCGGAGTCGACTTCGAAATTGTATACCCTCCTTGACAACCTCAGTGCACCTCGTTTCGCACACTCCAGACTGCAGCTACCATGCATTGCATTTCCCATCACTGAACTGAGGCGGAGGCGTGGTCCAAACCTGGAGACATGTTTCACTTATGACGTCAAGGCAGATGGTCTTCAAGACCTACTGATCACTTCCGAAGACAAGCTGATTCAGTTCTCGCCGACACGTCCCACTCAACAGACATTTTTGCTTGTCCGTCCATGGAATCGTCATGATCTTGAGCTGCCTGACTTTGCGGAGCCCGATTTTGCAGACGACGCACAGAGTGTGGACGATTGGCCTGAGCCTGTGTCTCTAACAGACGGATCTATCCGTGGTTCTCTTGTAGACTCTAATCTGGCTGATTCGGAGGCTCGTTTGCGAGAGTTGAGGTTGGTTGTTCGCCTTGGACAGCCTTTTGGTGCGCTTTTGCTAGCGCAACAGCGTGGTGGGGAGTATACGAGAGTCGCTTCGGACCACCTTATCATTGCCAAGGTCAAGGACATGGCTTCTATTGACGACACGACGGACATTAGGACGCTAGAGATATTGTAGTTTTGCAGTGTATCTCCAAGCACAAAGATTGCCAGCGCTACACTAGATCATTTTGCACGATTCACGATGTAAACATATACATCTCCGAATTCCGTCTCTTCAACTCCAGATGCAATTGACCGTCTATCTCTAGTTTCATAATGTCGTGATGCTGCGTGTTGCATCGAACAGAACAACAATGGCCAGGTCCAACGATCGGTCAACTTCATACAGCTCAATTGTCTAGTATCGTCTCTGAAGGGGCGTTGTGAGGTGAAATGATAGCAATACACTCTTCGATCTAACTAAAGAAGTGCCCCACCGCAGCCGTACTGCATTTGATGAAGCAGGACGGTAGTACAGCTGCCTGAAATTGGGTGGCATCGCATCCTTGGTGAATCAAAGATCTCACAACATACCTCCTGAGCTTGGTTATTCATCCCAGTTCATAGACGCTCACCTCCACTATGTTGGTGGTAAAAATCCATTCATGGCTTCTGCCTGTACGTCTGCCACTGGAAAATCGGTGTATCCCTTCTCAGTGACATCGCCATCAAGGTAGAATGTTGCACGGTCGGGCTTGGCAAGCGGCAGGTCGTGTATAAGTCGAGCAGGGAGGTCAGGCTATTGGAAGAGCGTGGAAAGTAGTTAGCGATAGAGATGGAGCATGCAAAAGATTGACCCAGGCGCAGGAAGAGAAAGTTGTCAGCACACATGAGCAAAGATAATGGACGAAGGAGATAGAACGTGGACAGAAGACTTACATTCGGAATGTACAATCTGCCAAATGCTATCATGTCCCCATGCTCCTGTGCTGTCTCGATTGCGGTCTGTCGTGTGTACCCACCCGCACTGATAAGCACCCTGTTCTCGCCCTCCTTGCACCATATCTCACGCAGGAAATTGTTGCTACTCTGCGGTAGTGCAATCACATCAATGGTTCCACCGACACGTGGCTCTGTGACATGAAGATAGGCGAGGTCGTACTTCCTGAGCTCGTTTACGAGGTAGGAGAATTGTGGTTTGGGATCAGGGAGGCCCATGTCTGCATAAATGTTGGTCCAGCATAAAATGAGGAACAGAGACAATACGCACCTTGAAACGGACTCCATGGACTTAATCTGATACTGACCTTCTCAGCGCCAACTTCCTTAACAAGCGCATCCACGACCTCTAACGCAAATCTTGCTCTCTTCTCGATACTCCCGCCCCATCCATCCTCCCGGGTGTTGCTCACCTCTTGCAAGAACTGGTCCACGAGGTATCCGTTTGCACCATGGATTTCGACGCCATCGAAGCCTGCTGCGATAGCGTTCCTGGCACCAGTGGCAAAGCTGGCGATGTATGATTTTATCTCTGGTTCTGTGAGTGCGTGCGGGACCGCAGTAGGACGGGTGGAAAGTGGGATAGAAGAGGCAGATACAAACGGGGAGTTATTCTCTCTGGCGAGAACTTCTGGGAATGCAGCCCTTCCGGGTGCCCACAGCTGGCAAAATATGAAACTACCCTTCTCATGTACGGCATCAGTGACCCTTTTCCATCCTTCTACATGTTCCTGGGTATAGATCCCTGGGACGAAGTCCCTCCCACCAGCAGCTTGGGAGACGAAGGTCGCTTCGGAGATGAGGAATGTTCCTGGGAGGGATGCACGTTGCGCATAGTAGGTAGCTGCATGGGGCCCGGGTGTGTGGGTGGGGTAGGCACGAAAACGGGTGAGGGGGGCGAGGACTATACGGTGGCTTAGTCTCATGTGACCCACTTGGATGGGCGTAAAGAGTGTGGGCGTCATCGTGAACCTGGTGAGCGAGGTGCACAAGGGTGGTCTTAGGTCTGTGCGAGATATAAGTACTCGGGCATTGTTGACAGGCGTGGAATGTTGTATACCAGTCGGCCGCCATGAGAAAATCTTCCCAGCTAAAGATGCGTCGAACTCTACCACCTGCGACACATCACGTGAAGTTTGAACGTGACTCCTGGTGAGATTTTAATAACCTATGGACCAGCCATCTTGCACAATTTGTTCTGAGCCCAGCTCGCGCGAGCATATACACACGGTAGACGTTCTGAATGTAAACGTACCAGCGAAAACAGTCAAGAGAAGCCGAAGTGTGTTTCCAACTAACAGGTTCACTGCCCATTTTAAGAATAGGATAGTCCGAGTATACAGAGCTCGTCTTGTCCAGCATTCCAATCGCTGCTGTGACGGAATTCAGCACAACAGTGTGTTGGCCTGCGAGATATCACCTGCACGGCATTAAGTTAAAATGCCTTACGTCAGAAAACAGGAAGACCCACCATATTTTTTGCCCCACACAGCGAAGGTGAGCCAGGGTCAACATGGTCTACGTACCAGCTGAGGACGAGTAAGATTGTGTATTGAGCGATTGGATACTGATAAGAGGTGTCCCTCCTGGATATGCCATACCAAGTTGAAAGACAGTGCGTAAGCACCTGCGTCTTGGCCGAACGCCCAAAATTTCTCGAATCGAAATGTTTACATGGTAACGAGGCTACATGTATCCAAGTCAGTGGTTCTCAATTGGACATTCATAGCCGTCTGCATCTGCATACCCATCTTTTGAAAATCAGTATTTGTGAAGCCCTATATGCGATTGAGCACGGGAAGACAAGATCAGTCCATCATAAGCAACCAGCTTACACAGCCGCTGCCACAGAAATTCATACCCCATGCATACCTCGGAAGGCGAGAATGGCTCACAACTTACGCACGGGGTATGGTGTCTCCGTGGCATAGCCTACATCTATTTGAGGTCGATGCAGCACTGCATCTCGGAGGCAAGTCCATGGCTACCCTCATATTATCTTCATCTCTCCTACAACGCACCTCCCGATCATGGAAATTCAGAAATGCTCACCTTCACCATCTTAGCATTCACTATTTCACCTCTGTTGGTACATCTGCCGCTGGGAAATCAGTGTATGTCTTCTCAGTGAGATCTCCAGCGAGGTGAAATGTTGCACGGTCGGGCTTAGCAAGCGGCAGGTCATGTATGAGTCGGGCAGGGAGATCGGGCTGTTGAAAGAATGTGGCAATAGAGGCAGCGTATGAAAAAGATCGACCCAGGCGTGGGAAGAGGAAGTTGTCAGCACACACGATGGGCAAGGACAATGGACAAAGAAGATCGAACATGGACAGAAGGACTTACATCTGGAATGTACAACCTGCCAGATGCTACCATGCCCCCATGCTCCTGCGCTGTCTCGATTGCAGTCTGTCGAGAATTGTGGTTTTGGATCGGGGAGGCCCATGTCTGCGTGAATTTTGGTACAGTATAAAATAAGGAATAGAGACAGAATGCACCTTGAAACGGACTCCATGGACTTAATCTGATGCCAACCCTCTCAGCACCAATTTATTTGACAAGCGCATCAACAACCTCTACGCAAATCTTGCTCTCTTCTCGATACTCCCGCCCCATCCATCCTCGCGGGTGTTGCTCACCTCTTGCAAGAACTGATCGATGAGATATCCGTTTGCACCATGAATTTCGACGCCATCGAAGCCTGCTGCGATGGCATTCCTGGCACCAGTGGCGAAGCTGGCAATGTATGATTTTATCTCGGGCTCTGTGAGTGCGTGCAGGACCGCAGTAGGACGGATGGAAAGTGGGATGGAAGAGGCAGATACAAGCGGGGAGTTATTCTCCTTGGCAAGAACATCTGGGAATGCAGCTCTCCCGTGTGCCCACAGTTGGCAAAATATAAAGCTACCCTTCTCGTGTACAGCATCGGTGACCCTTTTCCATCCTTCTACCTGTTCCTGTGTATATATCCCTGGGACGAAGTCCCTCCCATCAGCGGCCTGGGAGACGATGGTCGCTTCTGAGACGAGGGGTGTCCCCGGGACGGATGCACGTTGTGCGTAGTAGGTGGCTGCATAGGGCCCGGGGATGTGGGTGGGGTAAGTGCAAAAACGAGTGAGGGGAGCGAGGACGATACGATGGCTGATTCTCAAGTGGCCCACTTGGATGGGTGTAAAGAGGGTGGGTATCATCGTGTGCCTGGTGAAGGTGCGTAAGGGCGATCTTGGGGCATATCAGGAGATCATATACTCGGGCTGTTGGATTAGGTCTGCCGCATGAGGAAACCTTCAACAGACAGAACGTGGTGATGAATCATCGATGCACCCTGCTGGCACCTACAGAATATGATTGTATATGGGATGTATTGTCTGAGTTAGCTCGCGTGACATGCAACTTGAAGGACTCTCGCACCGATAACACTCTGACAACTCTATCCGAGGTGACCTGCAAAACTGAGTTTGAAACAAAGTCAACGATAATGTTATTTTTGGAACTAACGATACGTGGGATGTCATCCGACTTGCAAGTGGCAATCCGTCTACGGAAAAACTGCTCAGCCAGGGATTCTAAATAGCCCTAAGTCCCCCAGGCCCCAGGACTTATCGCGACGGAAGATCAGCTGATTCAATAATTCTCACCATCAACATCCCTGATTGTCCTATAGACAGTTTTTTGGTGGAAGCAACAGCACCATAGGAGTCCGTATGATATTAACGCACAGGTGAAACTTCTAAGGAATGGATCTAATGCGGTTTCAATCATACTTGGATATCATGTGTGAGGAACCATACCCTTTGTATCCCTATCGTATACTGACATGACAACTCACCATGATGACATGTTCTAGCTGATAAGGCCACTGTAACTGCCCATCCATTCACTCAGTAGTGCATCCTTCTCAAATGCGGCTTCCATGCGCAACAGCTCATCATACTGCAGCAATATCTCAGGTCCTACGCGACCCTCACTAGTAAGACACATTCTACGGAAGAAAGAAGTACATCTGAGATGAAGAAGCCGGACCCGTGCACCACATGGTCTACATGACCACTATTCGTTAATAGTGATCACGCGCCATATAAGGTGAGTCCGAGTACACACGACTTGAATGAAAGAAGCATACTGAAATTTAAATACTGGAACCATCAAGTTCCCAAATGGGCGGGTTCAAGTCCTTCCTCTGTTCCTGCACAATCACTAGTATGATGGCATGTCAATCCAGGAACTCTGTGTTGACATAATCTTTGCACGCTCACTTCCCTCTCACGCTTTATCTGTACGTTCGCTGGGCCTCAAAGGCTCTGCCACCAGCTCCCATATGAGTTCGTACTCTCGTTGAGGTCTGATACGCACTCAATAATTTTGAGCTACATACAAGTAATGTCCGTTTCTGGAACTTTGTATTTGTACTTATCTCCCCGGTGTCATATAAAATCAGATCTATTATCTACGTTCAGTTCGACAATTGCACTCTTTTCGCTGGTTTGAGTGTTCTCGCCAGTCCTAATGGCTTCCACAAGTTTGGGTCCGTACTCGGGACACACAGGAGATGAAGCAATTCTTGCCGGGTTAGGATACAAGCAGGAGTTTCGGAGGCAGTTTACTCCACTAGAGGTGGGTCCTTATCAGAGCGTTGGGCACCCTTGACAACGTTCTTGCACAGGTCTTTGGTGTTGCGTTCAGCATCGTGGGGCTCCTTCCATCCATTTCGTATGATGTGTGATTCTACTGAGACGAATTTTTTACTGATATACCATTCTTCAGGTCGGTACTCTTCAATGCCATGCCCAATGGTGGTCCTCTTGCGATGGTTTGGGGTGTAAGGCTTTACATATCAAGAGTCTTGGATGCTGTACTCATTCCGTTATACAGTGGGTGTTTGCCAGCGCCTTTATCATGTGTATCGGGCTGGCCATGGCGGAACTTGCGTCTGCAGCACCAACCTCAGGTGGAGTATGTCCTTCATCCTATCGCCGATATAGACCCGACCTCTCATAAATATCTAGCTTTATTACTGGACCCATTCGCTTGCTTCCCCTAGTTGCCGGAATTTTCTTTCTTGGATAGTTGGGTGTAAGTATGATCTTTCCTTTCAAACTTGTATCGCTGACACAGGGTATTGTGCAGATGCTAATACGATCACGTCCATCGCAGGACTTGGTGAGGAACTCGGTGTGCCATGAAAAAATGTTTATTGAGTTACAAAACTAGCCTCAGTGGATTGGGCATGCGCGATCCAAATCACAGCGGCAGTTAGTATGGCATCTAATCAAGTATACATGACAACCAATGCGCGGATCTAGTGAGTTCTTTATGTCTTGTCTGGGTGCCAGTTTCTCTGATCCGCCGCAGTGGTATATTTGCAGCGTTGGTGTTGTCCCATGCTGTCCTCGTGAGCCTCGGGACGCAAATACTAGCAAGACTTCAAAGACTTTATATTCTTCTGAACGTATGGTAGGTGTTTTATCTCCACTTTATCCTAATCCCTTCAAGTTCACTGCCCGAGGCAGCCTCTGCTTTGTGGTCATTATCGCGCTTCCAATCGCAACGCCATCAGAATTCAGAAACAGCGCTAGCTATGCACTCGGGGACTTTACCAACTGTATGTAACATCTACTATTGTCATCTCATCTAATAATCGTTGTCAGTTAACGGTTGGCCATCTGGATTTGCGTTCATATTGAGTTTATTGGCACCTCTTTGGACGATAGGTTTGGCCTATCCTTTGTCGCTCGCATTTTATTTGACAGTGCAACAGGTGGTTATGATTCAAGCGTACACATGAGTGAGGAGGCATCCAATGCTACTACCGCCATTCCATGGGCCATTGTGAGCGAAACTATAAATACTGTAGCTACAAGACTAATGCAAGCAGGTCGGCTCTATTGCGATATCTGCAGCCCTTGGCTGGGGTGCGTGTCACGTTGCCAAATACGTTGTTACGAATCTAACAGCTTCCAGGCATCAATGTCTCCCTTGCATTTTGCATGGGTAGTGACATCGAAGGCATCTTGGAAAGTCCGATTGGTCAACCTATGGCGCAGATATTTTACAACTCTTTTGGGCAAAAAGGAGCGTTAGCCCTTTGGTCTCTCGTCATTGTGGCACAGTGTGTTCTCTTGACATTAGTCTTCCCATACTGCTCTAAAAGATCAACAGATATATGATGGGATCAAGCTGTCTGCTTGTCGGTTCCCGCCAGACGTTCGCATTCGCTCGTGATGGTGGTCTACCGTTCTCCCGATACTTTTACCGAATCAATAGCTACACAACAACGCCAGTCAATACCGTCTGGCTCGATGCTTTTCTTGCTCTTGCGATGGGTCTTCTGGCGTTCGCGAGTACACAAGCTATCAACGCGATCTTTACCCTCGGAGTGACCTCGTCATACGTATCGTATATCATACCGATCATGACCCGTTTCGCATTCAAGAATGATTTCAAACCCGGTCCATTTAATCTCGGGAAATTTGTGGGTCAAAAAGCAATCGATGTAGTCTTGTACTTATGGTCTCTTGCAGAGCTTTCCCGTCGCAGTAATCGCTGTGCTATGGATGGTCTTCATGAACATCGTTTTCTTCTTTCCCACGACCCCACAGACCAACGTGCAAGAGATGAACTATACAGTGGTCGTCCTAGGTGGCTTCATGTCCCTCGCTATTTTCTGGTATTACTGCCCGGTATACGGAGGAGTACACTGGTTCAATGGACCTGTGTCAAATATAGCATCAGCTGACAAAGGGCAAGATGATGAATCGGCGTCAGAGAAGACGGGGAAAGAGCAAGGAGTAGATGTCTTGATCGTGGATGCATGAGTCTAGTTCTAGATATTAGTCAATGATATTATCAAGCAGTATTGTAGTTGTTGTAACACGGATTTTCTCTGCTTTAGTACCCAGTCACTCGAAGCCTTCGGAAATGCGTAGCGTTAGCTTCAGTAAGCGCCCCACGGCTTAACGTGAATCTTTGAGAGATCATCCATCCATCTCAGAAATCATTAAGAACGCTCGAAACAGAGCTGGAACGACAAACGGACCCCTTCTCTCCGTCTCAATCTCATCGAGACCTCGCTCAGCTTGAAGGCGCTTATATCTTTCTCGCCGTATTTCGTTCTCTACTTCAGCGAGACGAACTTCAAGCTCTGCATTATCATATTAAACGAAGGCCGGACGCAGCTCAGAATAGTCACCTGAGAATTTTTGCGCTGGTCGAGATTCGAGGATGTGGCGAGGAGCATCTAAACGGCGCAATGAAGCTACAAGCTCGGTTTCGCGTGCTTGTAAGGCAGTCATTTCCCGTCGAGTATCCCAAAGATCGCGCGTGAGTCGGGATGTTGCATGGTTATTGGAGGTCGATCGTGACTTCCCGCGCAGTGATGATGCTACGGTGGTCGAAACAATTCGGGGAGGTGGCTCGGCACAAACGGGGCGGTTGGGAAGAGATGGGTGCAGCTTAGCGAGATTAAGTTGCGTTCCTTGATTTGCCACATCTGAGCCGAGAGTACTGGATAGCTGCGCAGGAATTATTACCGGCTGTTGCTGATGGAGTGGGTTTACGGTTGTACCCTCCGTCAGGGCTTTGGAGCATGTGGGATCAGATACATCCGAGGATTGGTTGGGACCTTCCGGTGTTTCCTGCTGCATATAGACACTGCTGGGGCTTTGCTCTTGACACTCCCCGGGCTCCGGGCTTGCTGTATACTGCTCCCTCTTGAGATACTGGGGTTCGCAGCTTTCAGTAGTGTCAGCCATATGGCCGTGACGAGGATGCTGACGAGGCTTCTTTGGCAACTTGTAATTCTGATATTGTATGTCGTAATTTGACAGCCTTGGTGCTTTCCGAGAGCCTGAGCTGTTAGAGCTTGTAGGCGCTTCATACGGTGAGCCCAGGGGAGAGCCTCGCGAATAAAGTAGTGAGCTCACCCATAGAATTATCAAGTGGGATTTGAAGGTTGGTAGCTGTTGAGGCCTAACTCAGAAAAGCTGTCATCAAGACCCAGTCAAAGTAGATGACCTCTCCCGCACACATCAATTAACTTGGCCCTGACGCGTCAGAGTAATTAATTCACGTGACCGTATCAACTTGCACAAATAGTCAGCGCTAGTATGCGCGCTCGTCATTAGTAATGGTTCGATATTACGAAAAAATCTGTTCCACCAATCGCATCGTTGCTCCATTAGCAGCGCACCGTAAGCATCGAACTTTTTTTTGACGAGCGAAAATTATGGGTCTTTTGCTGAGTCTCATCGATGTATCAATCGATAACATCAATAACACTGACCATAAACCATATCATGAATTCAAGATTAGCTCAGTATAAAAACACGCAAGATACAGCTGTGCTGTAGTACCACACTCGTTACTCAGAGTCACTTGAAGCTTATAACGTGATGCTGGTTGTCATTTCGTCACCCCGCCCCCCCTCGGCCAGGTCGGCCTGTTCTCGCAATTCTGTTCGGTATCAAACTAATAATGATCGCTTACATTTGCTATAAAGTATGGAATTTTACTGACCTCTCCCACTTATCAAGCCATGCTTGCCACCGTCCTGCTGCTTGCTCTGCCATTCTGCACCGCAGAGTCAGCATCCAGTTACGCAGGATCAACTGTCGTTGATTCTTATCCTCCCTCCGGTGCCACCAACACTGCTGTTGACACTTACTTCCCGGATGCATCTCAAGTCGGTTATGCAGGTCCAACACCTAGTCAGTGTCATGATAATGTTGATTCCCGTGTTCTAATCATAATAAAATCAGCTGGTGCTGAACCTGCAGCCATTGTCACTGCAGTCCCATTCTCTAAGGTCGAAGGCGTATTTCCCTTGTCGAGGCCCAATTCGGCAGACGGCACAGATAACACTTTCAATGTGATGCGTCACTGGGGCAATTTCGCGCCCATGTACTCCGTGGAGTCATTTGGTCTTCCTGATGCATCCCCCGTCATCCCAGAAGGGTGTGGCCTCAATGGTGTGCACCTCTTGATGCGCCACGGCGCCCGCTATCCAGCTTCCGACGAGCCTGGGCCTTCTCAGTTCGCTTCCGAAATTCATGCTGCTACATCGAAAAAAGCCTTGAATGTCACTGGTGATTTAGAATTCTTGACCACTTGGACATATAAATTGGCCACGACTAGCCTGACCCCTTTCGGCCGTGAATCGATGTACGCTCGTTCTCCTTTACGATACTTCCACTAACGCTCCCCTTCATCAGGTTTAGCAATGGGGTTGCCTTCCGCTACAGATATGGCGAGTTGCTTAATGCGTTCACGGACTACCTCCCAGTATTCCGTACTACTTCTATAGATTGCATGGTAGATGCTGCGTGAGCAATTCATTCATATTTCTGCGTGCGCTGTGCCTAATAATGCTATCGGTAGCCTGACCTTTGCTGCGGGCTTTTTTGATGTCAGAACTTACGAGACCGACTATCACCAGGAGATCATCATCCAGGCGAACAACTTCAACAACACCCTTGCTCCTTTTGAAGCGTGCCCCAATGCCAATTCGGAGGATATCGGTAACTTTGGTGACACTCAGTCTAGTAAATGGGCGGATATTTATCTTCAGGATGCTTGCAGGCGCTTGCAACCAATGATCCAAGGAGTCAATTTGACCATCTCACTATTGGTTGGAATGCAGGAACTGTGCGCCTTGGAGGTAACCTCATCCTTGACGCGGTCTTTATGGATTTCTGACTTCTTGCAGACCGTGGCCCTCGGATATTCCAAGTTTTGCGACCTTTTCACTGAGGAAGAATGGGAAGGATACGAGTATTACGCCGGTATGTTCTCTCAAATGATCCTTGCTGTTTGCCTTACTGAGCTCGGCGGTGATCTCTATTTGCAGATCTCGGTGAGTACATTGAGTGGTAAACCTGCAGCCTGAGTGACTAACGACTTGACTGTGAACAAAGATTTCTGGTACACCTGTGGACCAGGTAATCCAACAGGAGCAGCGCAGGGCCTTGGCTATGTTCAGGAACTAGTGTCGCGTCTCACTCACACTCCCATCAATGTCTGGAACAGCAGCACTAACGGCACTCTTGACTCGAGTAACATCACATTCCCTCTTGATCAACCTATATACGTGGATTTTACCCACGGCGTAGGCATTGCGAGTGGTATGTTGCCACTTCCTTCCAATACAAGACTACTAACGGAAGGGCTCAGTTGTCACTGCTTTGAACTTTACTAGTCTAGCTGCAACTGGTCCTCTGCCAACCGACCACATACCCCCTCACCGTGTACGCAGTCTAATAGACCACCGCTTGTCTCTATTTCTGACCAGTCATGTCAGTCTTACGTTTCTAGCCAGATTGCACCTTTTTCCAGCCAGCTTGTAGCTCAGGTGCTGAGTTGCCCAGCTTCAGAGGAACCAACTCATATCCGGTTCCTTCTGAACGACGCTGTGGTGCCACTGACGGGCATTCATGGTTGCACGGAAGATTCAAACGGTCTCTGCGCGCTGCCTAGCTTCATCAGCGGGATGCATGAACGAATTGGGCAGATTGACTTTGCGCATGATTGCTTCGCCAATTATACCATGCCTAATCCCAACAACATCGTCGATGGAAGATGCCCCAGTTAAAAGGATGAGCGCTCAACTACCTATGAAACGAAAGAGTACGCAGAACGTCTTTATCACGTGGTAAGCTCCAAGCTTACATAGAAATGCCTTTTACGCAAAGACATCGAAATGTAGTAGAAAATATATAGTCCATTATTGTAGGTATTTCCTTCGTAATATATTGCTACCTGTGTCGACTTGCACTGGGCTTCCAATGTCAAGTGCTGTAGAAAAATCGCCAATAGCCGGGAAGTATGTGCACAAGGCCAAACCAAAGCTACAATCATGAGTCAGTAGATAGAATTTTCGGACTCGAGATCACTGACGCTATATAGTTTGCACGACTGTTTGTGCGCACTCGCGGTCCTATAAACCACGAATCTCGCCCCGACAATCGTTCCGTACGCCATGAATGCGAGAGAACAGAAGATATCTACCTCCCAAAATCTGCTAAGGCAGAGTGACCAAAGTGGGATGCCAATCGTCATGGACATGCGCGCAAAGGTAGGGAACAAAGTGACAAGAGTGCGTCTTCCTGCCAATAGATCTCCCTCCTCATCTTTAAAATCTTGTGCGTGAATCGTCGTTGCAAACACTACAAAGTTGAAGGCGGCTGCACGTGCCAAAATGTTATCCATGCTAGATCCTGGTTATTGAAATATAAATCCAAGTCAACGATCAAGCTTGCTTATGACTTCTGGAACAGTCCACGTACCAAGCACGATGGTTGTACCTAATTCGAGAATTGTATATGCGATGGCGGTCAATAGGTTCTTCGAAAGCCAAGTCCTATCGCCACCAAACTCATTGTACCAAATGCTGAGGGCTTCTAGACAAGCGCTGCAAGCAAGAACCTTGATGCCATACATGGCAGAAAATATCAGGCAGACTGGCACTAGCAGCCAGCGCACATCCGCCGCATTTTGGACATTTATACGACCAGAAGGGATAGGTCGATGAGGCTTGTTTTTCCGGTCTTCCTCTGGATCCAGCATCTGGTTATATATATCATGTTTCAGGAGGTGCAGCCATATCCATATGATGATGTGCGGAATGCGATTTATATCGGGATGGGAAGCAGCTGCGAAGGTAGATAAAGTCTAATGAACAAAGTTTGAATATCAAGGAATATACAAGCAACATGTAGTAGAGACACGCACGATTGGGATAAGAACTGTGAACACGTCGGACTTTGTGAACAAGAATAATGTCATGATGTGCCTGCGGATACGGCGACCGCTATCCAGAGCTTGAGACAACATGCTGGTCTGACTGTTTGCTCATTATTGAGCCAGCAGCCCACAGTTTTATAGCCCGACGTGCTGTGAAAAAAACATAACATTACTAAATACTAACCGACATAAAAGTTCACCGGAATGCGTGTGGCAGTGGCGGCAACCCTGCAGGCTGAATAGGCTACCCTTCTTTCGACTTCGGTCAAAGGTGACCTCAACTTCCGGGAAACACAAAGGTACTCCCGACCTTGTGCTGTTCACGGCATCAATGAACCTGTGAATAGATCTTTTAAATGTTGGTATCTCAAGCAATATATCATTGAGTATCGCAATCATCAAACATACCACTTCCACATGGGATGATGGGAATGTTTTTGCGTTGTCGAGGAGACACCGATTTGTGGCAAGCACATGGGCCTGGTAGCCAATTAGCTCCGTGATCCTTTCAGTTGAATGGATTTAAGAAATAATGCACAAGCACAGGTGCAGGAAGCCAAATATGGACCTAGCCTGAGACAGACGATGAAAGAGGTTGCATCATGTGCGGAAGTGAAAGGCAATTTGGTGATTAGTACTGTCGGGACTGCAAATGTTTCTGCATTGTTACGATATGCATGTCAACTGTACTTGTAACTCAACTTACATGTCGGGATCATCAGGAAGCGGTGACTACAGTCCCCGCAGCTAGTGGCTGACTGTACACTGCAAACTGCCGAAAGCCTTTGACACATATCCGAAACGGGTACCATGTGGTAAATCTATAATAATACCCCTGAAAGGGTTTGTTCGCCAGCAATTGCTGACAATTTGAATCTTTATGCAAGCGAGCCAGTAAGCGCGGGATCTAAGAGACCTTCAATAGGGACCTGGCAACATTTATGAAACCCCGATGGGATATTGACAACCGAGGTAGGAAGTACATCGGACTAGGATATTTTCAATGGGTGATTTTCCTAGGTTGCCCAGATATCTCATACCATAGGTCTCCCAGACATCTTGTCCCATAGGTCAAGCAGATGTCTCGTTTCATAGAGAGGATGTATATATTTTTGTTGTAATAATATCAATCTTGTCATTGAATCCTTCAGATCAGGCAGGTAAAAATTCAAATGAAACACAAGCACTTTTGCATTAATACTGATCAATGGGGTAGATACACTGGCAATTAAGACGTAGTTATAAGGAAGGTATGTACCAAATGAGTGAGTTCTGAATAGTACTGGTTGCAGCGAGGAGCTTCGGAACGAGCATGCTGCCAGGGAACTCAGCTCCAAAGCAGTGAGTTCTGAATAGTTGTCTGCCATTGAGGACTGGTAGTGGTGAGGAGCTTCGGAACAATCGTGCTACCAGGAAATTCAGCAAGGTCCATTTGGAAGTATTCAACAAGTATGCTAAAGGATGATCAGCAATAGTGCACGCAATACGATGACTATACGCTTACTTTCGTACAGCATTTTCATATGCTCCGCGGCCTGACTTGTTGGGATCCGAGCCTGTCTCCTCCTTTGCAGCTCTGCAGATGGCTTGAAGTGAGCAATCAACGAAGTTCCAGAATTTTGATGACGTGAATTTCAGACCCTTGCCGTTCTTTCCTTTGGTAAATCCAGAGCCGCCATCGTCAACCTCAAGTTCTTGCTCGCTGGTTTCCTCCTCCTCCTCCTCCTCCTCCTCCTCCTCCCCCTCCCCGTCCCTATTCTCAAGAAGCCCATATGACTCTCCACTGTCCATGGTGTGCTCTTCCTCTCCAAGGTTATTGCCGTGATCATTAGTCGCTCCGAGATCTCCTTCGCAGTGTTCGTCTGAATGGTCCACATTGCCTTCGGCATTATCTGCACGCTGCTCATCATTCTCGCTTACCTCCATATCTATGTCGCAATCAAGTCCCTCTGAGATTTTGACACGGTCTCTATGAAGAGAAGGAATAAGTGAGCTCGAGTAAAGCTCCTTGAGAGGAATAGCTCTGTAGTCACCGACCCCAATAAGGAAGATGCGCAAACAGCGCCACTAGAGTTGTGTTATGAACTCGACAAATTGCTTTAAAATGAGAACGTACTAAAAATGCATATCTATTCCAATGAGCAGCATCAACCTCAATTATACTGTGAGCGAGTGATTTAGCCGTGTCCATGATACTCATTCGCTTAACGAGCGATGCGACCAACTGAAGGGCAGTCAATGTCATAATGGTATGCATGCTCAATGAAAGACAAACCTTCGTCTTGAGATTGCCGCTGTAGAAACAACAATACAGAGAGGAACAAAAGATGCTCCTAACTGTATCTAAAAATGTCGTAGGTCAAGTGTTGCCTAGTCTGCTTTACTTGAGGAGACAAGTGCGTTCGACCCTAAAGGGGAAGTGAGTGCAGCAAAGATCTAGAGGTATGCGCTGAAGCGCAGGTGCGCGCAAGGCGCGAGAACACGCGCGCATATTAGCGCGAAGCGCGGGAAAGCGCGCGCGCGTATGCGGAAATGATAGAGACTAAGCTTAAGTGATGATATAATGCAAGATAAGAGATGTGAGTGCGAGATGTAAAGGAATAGAGATCTACTATGTTCTGCTAAGTAGTAAGTAAGTAGTGATAGGTAAATGGGAGGTAAAGTAAGGTAAGGTGAAAAGTAAGTACTGCTGGCGCTTATATAGCATGCCTAAGCGCGGTCATGCGGAGCCGAAGCGCTACTGAGTAGGTATGTAAGGATATATATGGGTGAGAGTCCATGATAAAAATAAAGGTGGAACACTATGCTAATAAAGGAAATGGAAATATACGCACTAGGGAGCTTGGTGGACAGTGGATGGATGCATCTGGATGGCTGGCGCTATAGGGTGCGCAAGCGCGGGAAAGCTGCGCCTCATATAGGAATTGCTGTGGACAGTACACAGAGTGGTGCTGCGAGTTGGTGCTGTATACTCCCTTAGTGGAAACTGTCATATCATGCCATGAGAGGCATGATTCTCTACACCGCGAATGGAAGAGAGCAATTCACTGACAATTTTCGAAAGCTGTGCCAAAAGCTCCACGTCGTCGATTAACCCAGCTGGGATTTTGAATACCTCTCGATGGTTCTTGATGAATTCCTGTTGCAGAGTCAATTCTCATGTAGCTATGAGAGTAGGTGGACAAGATACCATAATATTTGTGTGAGTATCATCCACATATGCGGTAAGGTTGGGTGACAGGAGACAGGCCGTCAAGCGACTTTGAAGTGCAGACTGTACTCATCTAGTCAGCTTGGTGCACTCTGAGTGAGTCAACAATCACCTTGAAGTCCTTGGAATCTATAAGTTCCTTCAGATCGACAAGAGCGGCCTTTTCCAGATCATCGATCCTCTTGAATGAGTTGGCCTTCAGGTCAATCAGCATGTGGAAGATGCTTCCGGTCTAAGGCACATCAACCAAAGCAAGCAATCACGATTGAACAATACTGACATCAATGAATTCGTGTAGAACCTCCCAGGGGCAACCGGTCTTCTCAGCAACATGGTCCGCGTACAGTTTGAGTTTTTCGTCTGAGAAGGTGACAGGGACTGAGTCACATCATAGCCATCATCGGAGTCTGCTCTCCGGCGGCGCACACCAGCCATGATAGGCTCGTCGAGAGATCCTTCGGATGGAGTCTGCAATATGATACTACCACTGGGCCTGTCAACAGCGGTGTAAGAGGCTGAATTGTTGCTCCCTGGTTGAGTTGACGGGATTGTTCCTAGCGGGGAACGTGCTCGCTGGATAGCGTTTCCAGTCCCAGTCAAAGGAGCCCTAGATCTACTGCGGCTGCGAGGTTGTTGAATAGATGTTGACAGACTCCTGCTTCGAGCCCCCCCAGTGGCAGCTGGTGTCAACAGACCCGTTGAACCCGGCCTTCTGGGCTGCGGGCTTCCTGTCTTATTAGCATTTCCAGAGCGCACAGGGAACCGTTGAAGCAACATCCTTGAAGACCAGCGCAAACGTTGTGGAAGAACGAGTGGGTGCTACCACTTGCGGCACTTTCCGTTTGTGGGTCAACTTGAAGTGGAGGAACACAGGGAGTTGTTCGGATGCACAAAATTTTTATAATTGAGCAATGAAAGCAGGGGGTAATGAAACTAAACTATATCAGAAAACTGGAATAACAGTGTGCGAGTAAGTGGTATAACATATGTGCGCACAATGGTACAATGTGATGTGTGAGTGGTGAGACAACAACACCGGTCAAAGACTTCGATCCTCCTTCGAGGATTTTTCATATCCTTCCCACTGCCGGTTGAAGACCTTGATCCTCCTTCGAGGATTCTTCATATCCTTCCCACTGCTGGTGGAAGACCTCCTCCTTCGAGGATTCTTCATATCCTTGCCGCTGCCAGTTGAAGACCTTGGTCCTCCTTCGAGGGTTCTTCATATCCTTGCCACTGCCAGTTGAAGACCTTGGTCCTCCTTTGAGGGTTCTTCATATCCTTGCCGCTGCCGGTTGAAGACCTCGGTCCTCCTTCGAGGATTCTTCATATCCTTGCCGCTGCCGGTTGAAGACCTTGGTCCTCCTTCGAGGATTCCTTATGTCCTTGCCGCTGCCGGTTGAAGACCTCGGTCCTCCTTTGAGGATTCTTCATGTCCTTGCCGCTGCCGGTTGAAGACATTGGTCCTCCTTCAAGGATTCTTCATATCCTTGCCACTGCCGGTTGAAGACCTCGGTCCTCCTACGGTTGAGGATAAGTATGCTGGGGTGACATACAATAGCTGACAGCGTGTTGCATTGTGCCTGCCTGTGGTCCAGCTTGTGCAGGCGTTGGCTGGTGTAAATAGTGTGATTGGTGATAACCTTGTGGCGTGACTTGCATGAAGTGGACGCTGGAGGTAGGGTGGGGGTGGTGTGTTGTCGGAGGGGGTTGTGAGCCAGGGAATGGCACTGCATGGGTGGAATGAGCAGGGGGCAGGTGCATGTCTTGTAGTCTCGGAGGACCTGCATTAGGATATGAGAGCAATGGCAACAAAGGAGGATGGTACGAAGTCTGCGGAGGGCCCATCTGTAGTGGCAGAGGGTGATACAAGACTTGCGATGGCACAAATTGGTGGGATGGGACCATCAGATTCTGCTGAATGGAAAAAGACGGCTGCTGTCTCGAGGGCCCATCAACAGCCTGCTCAACGATTGACGAGGCTGCCTTCCTTTTCCCTCGCATACTGCTTGCCTTTGCTCTGGACTTGGTGGCCGCGCTCGACTTTGTGGGAGCCCGATCAAAGGCTGGAGCTGGTTTTGTCATACTTTGAACACCTTCCTCCACAGCGTTAGCTTCTTGACTTGGAGGAACCTCACCAACTTTCTTCGCTGATTTCTTGTCTCTCATCTGTTGCACTGCTAGTGTCCGAACCTCAGCTGGATTAGTGACTCTCAGCGGTGTTTCGCGAAGCGTTTCAGGGATGGCCATTTGGATGAGATTGCAGTTATGAATCGAATAGGTGTTCAGAAAATAGTGTGGAGTTGGCTGATGCTCGACGACAGCTTTCATTCGGACAGTTACAATCCATTCTTGACACATGCGTTGCTGACACATGTTTGCGCACTTCGAATCGATGCAGTTGTGCTGAACATTGACGGTGCAGACAATATCCTGTGAGGTGGGACTTGTAAACAAGTCCGTTACAGAACATACTACATACTGCTGCCGTCAAAACTATTTCATCAGACATAAGTTCCAAACACGGTAAGAAGAGTGAAGGATGTAATGCAGGTCCGAATGAAAAGTGCTGCAATGCAACTCGTTCTACAGTTGTACCAGTGTTGGGTGATACGAGAATTTCGCAAATACGTCCAATAGACATCTGGTCAAGTATTGTTAATGTTCAAGCATGACTAGGCCAACAATCAATCACCTTTCCTGATCTTTGAAAAATGACATGACCATTCAGACCAACTTGTTCTCCCATGCTCGTCACGAGCGATTTGCCACGATAGTAAGAAGTGTCCAACTGAGTAGTGCCGAGGATCTTTGCACAGCGAGTATCCCTCCATTTGACTACCTCTGCTCTTTGTGCTTTTCCGGTTGCACTCATGACGGTTTCAGTCTTTCCAGAGCCTATGTGTACTTTAGTGACAAGATGTGAGTAGGACATACGACCGAACTTACCAGGCAGTAGGGGTTCATGAATGATACTTGATATGCCGAGAAGGTGGGCTTGTTCTAGGTGCTTGCCAAGATAAGATATAATTTGCTCCCCTCCGCGAATCCATTTCTTGATAGTTGGATCATACCAGTAACCTCCAGTCATGATGTGTCTGACGATGTCCTGGTAAGCAAATTGTCGACATGTATCTCTGCTCGGCGCACGTCGATTGCTGTGTATGCACGATAACCGAAAAATATGATTGAAAGATTCATATCTTTCAGTAGAGAATACGATTGCAGGTCCGAAACGACGAATATATGCTGGAAGATGAACTAAAAAATGGAATTTTGGCTTGCTGATGAGGATACTTGGAGCGCATTGTGCTGTCACATTGAGAAAATCTTCAATTGTTCGTGATAACTTCGCCTATCCAAAGAAAATCAGTCAATGACGCCTTTGAAGGACTCAGTGCGAACTAAACTAACAAGATACACTTCAGTGTCTGGTATCGTCGTGTGCCACACGAGTGCAACAAGCTCTCCGATTACGGACCATCCATTGAGAACCATCCGAGGAATGAGATCATGGATCAGGAAGGGCATTACTTGAGCCAAGCTCTTGAAGTGTTTCCCAATAAGACTTCCTTTGTAGTGACATATATAGTCGGCATTTAGGGAAGGCGCGTTCATTCCATCCCTATCGACAGAATTGAGTCGGCTCTGAAAGATGTGCAGAAGCTTTGCTTTCTCAAGGAGAAACACAGTCTGACCCCAGAAGTATTTGACGACGCCCAACAATATCGTGTGAAGGATCTCAGTTGGCGTGTCCAAGTGCATACTGATTCCTACCATACAATACTGTGAGCATGATATCAAACACACCAATCAAACGTACCATTCATGCCAAGCAATGGATTGATAGCATCGTCTAATGTCGCGCCTCGTAACTGTTCCTCGAACTCTTTTTCGAGTGCTGCTGTAACATCACTTTCAGACCTTGCTTGTGAGCCTGGCTCGCGTTTACGAAGTTTCTTGCCAAGTTCAATCAATGATTCCAGAATGGACGTCGAAGCACTATCGTGAATGCCAGTCGAGGACATAGCATTCTGTACTTTGGTCGTAGCATCCGGTTTCAAAGCAGCCTCGAATTGATGTCGAATATCTTCAGTCGTCTTTTCAGGTGTTCATAAGTTTCCTGGCTGCAGACATAAGATCAGTTTAGTTTAAAGATAGTATGATGCGCTCGCACCATAAAGATACTATTGTAGCCTTTGTGAGATGCCTTGTATTCCTTTGTGCCACAGACATTGCACGTTCGACAGAAGTAATTACAGTTAAGGCCCACATGGCTGCATTCTTCGGCCTGCATTGGATTATCTCCAGCAACAAATAACCCATATGGTATTAGCATTACCTCCTCTTGATCCTTGCAATCCCAGGCAACAATACCAGAGTTCGCTGCATCACTACAAACACTCAGAAAGAATACACCATATTCAAAGGACTACGTACCATAGTGAGTCTTTCATTGCTCGCATCAGCTCCATTGGCGCGGCATGGGGAGAGGATGTGACGAAGCGCACAAAAAATTCCTTCTCGAGCATTTCCTGTGGTAGGTTTGCATTTGACATGTAGATCGCATGGTGCTTATTCCACTGTTTTGAGATGTTGCCCGAGACGTCGTCCATAAAAATTATGAGTGGGACCGCATAGACCATTCGGCCTTTTGCCTTTTCGCACAATGGGTGAGGTGCAAGTGACGCATACCGGTCAGAAGAGGCTGATAGATACATCAGTCTTACGGTCATTGATGAAGCAATGAAAGTTCAACGTACCTGTGAGACCACAATTGAGCTCATCCGTTGATGCAATGTCTTTGTATGAGCGCACAAACATTGATGTCGGGATGATTTCCTGTTCGTCATTAACAATGAATCCTGCCTATTGAATGGTTAAAGTTAGCATGTATAAACCGAAGGCCATGTACATCAGTTCATTGAACAGCCCGACCAAGTGCATATAGAGTTTTCGTGAAATTCAGTGCCATCGTCAGTGGATGAACCAAGAAAAAAACGCCCTAGAATGAAATAGTCTCCTGAAGAATCCTGCAATAGCTCATCAACGAAAAAACTTTCCCGTCCACCCGAGCTGCTGGAGGAGACGGGAGATCGAGTAACATCTTGTTGCCATTGAAGACCTGCAACATTCCTTTCCCGCCGTCCTCAGGGTAGTCCTGCATTGCAAAGCGAGTGAGTGGGTTTCTGTAGTCCTAAAATATGACATTAGTGCAACTTCAACAAAACAAAATTGAACAAACATGTGCAATCGCTTTGGCAATATTATTGATATAGAAAATGTTACCAGACCGAGCGGTAACCTTTTCCGTTGGCTGCCCAACAAGATCCTCGACGAGTGTCTGACACTTCTTGGTTGCATAGAGCGAGGGCACATCTCACGCACCAAGCTCTTTCGCCCAGTTAAGTACTGCCTTCTTCTGGGCATCAGAAAAGGGTAGGCGTGGGGAGCTGAACAGAAGGGCTGTTACAAAATCCTTGAAAGGGCTATATAAGTATTTAATCATGCAACTGAGGTAACAAGTACTCACTGCTTTTGATGGCCAGGGATATGTTGGACTGTCAGGAGTGATGGTATTGAAAGCAGCCCTCGCTGCTGGAGGGTCATTGTCTGTAAATGTGAATGTGAATGTATTTAGGTACAGAAACGATGTGAAGGAAGTGATTTGCGTACCTGGAATCTCTATCCCAAAGTCAGGTGCACTATAATCATCTAACTCGTACTCCTCGTTGATGGGGGTAAGTGGTGTCAAAAAAGGGATCTGTCCAGAGGCAAGCGTGTCTTGAAGTTCGGCAAATAAGTTGGTAACGCCCTCACTAAACTCAACCGTCCAACTTGCAGTGATGTCATTTAAGAACTCGGACAAAGGAATCTCCAAGTCCATCGTGTCGTCCATCTCCATAGAAAAGTCCTCGGCATCCATAAAACGAGGTATAACAGATTTATACACCTCGTGCCTCCTGGTGGCGAGATTGCGTTCTTGAAGACTCTTCCTGACCTGCTCAGCCTTGAAAATGGGAGTTGAAGGCGTGGTCCAATCACTCATTTTTTCAATGTGGCGCTCATGCCTTTCTGACCGCGTGTGCTTCTTGACGAAATGGAGCTCCATGGTACGATAGGCCCCAGATAATAGCCTTGGGCATACCGTGCAGAGGATGCGCTTATGCGTGTCATCACAGAATCGTAGAACTGTCAGTTAGTAGCAAGTTCAGTAGATAATTACAAGTGACACAATACTGAACTCACTTGTGCCGTCAATGAGATTGTGCTCCATGGATGAGTTGAGTCTGACCGGTGACCGACGAATCGAAATTGAGATGTGGGAAGTCACGTGGCATGCGATGGTGAATTCATGCAAAGTCCAAAATCTCACGTCCTTAATAATATTAACATTTCTCGTCAAGCTCTAAACAATTTCAACATGCCTGGCGCACTCACCAACTACTCTACGGTCTATCCTGGTGTCCTATCTGAGAACACAGAGAACGCTAAACTCCAAACAATGCTCCTTACGATTGAATTTTCTGGTAAACTTCCAAGGCATCTTTCAGAGCGCAGCATAGTGAGTACATAGGACTCTATTGGAAATTACTTACATTTGTTGGCCGTAGCCTGTCGAGATATCCGTTTCAATTGCTGAAGAATTCGGATGCTTCACCATGCCCATCATACACGCTATGTCCGTGGACCCATGGTGCACCCCTCCTGGAAGTCCAGTAAATGATGTGAGTGTTCATTCTCCTGGCCGTATAAAGCTTACATTCTGTAGAAGGGCTTTGAACCATCCGAAAATTCTATCCTTCCTGCCGATGACGTCCCCATTCCATTCCTCCCACTTCCATCAGAGTTCGACTACACTAAGTGAAAAGACTGGGCGGAGCTATCTCAACGGATCGAAAAGTGGCTTATAGAACTCGATACGGAATTGCCGGAGTGGTCATGGGGACGCGACACATTTTGGTTGACGTTTGTCACTGCATTCCCATCCTTCCCAAGAGGTACCTGGCCCATGTGGGATCCCCGCATTCCATTGGAAGGCACATTCATAGAACAGTGGCTACAGGATTCAGGTAGTAACATTAGGCTCTGTCAGGATATCATGGAGGAGACGGGATATACTGAGAGAGATACCGAGGACTTGAGTAAGATCTGGGACACATTTTGCAGGGATGCGGCCCTCTTTTATCCTTACACTCTCATTGCTACAGATTCATTCCATTACAGTTAAAAATCATTGTTGGTTCGAGCAGGACTTGGATATTTATGTACAAGTAGTACATACCTCACTTTGCAATTTAACCCATTGTTGTGTTCTATCCGAATTTAAAGTTTCTTCCTCGTTGAATGACTGCAAGGATGGAGGACTTGAACAGCTGCTGCATTGGAAATACTGTTGCATTGTTGAACATGTTCGCAATGCCATTGCAGGGGCTCTGGGTATCGGTGTATGCAAGAAGAGCTCAAGCAGGTAGTGCTCAGATATCTGTAGGATATCTGGCAGGTGTCTAGGTAATATCTCATGCCTGGTCTAGACCACATGACTCATGTCGATCTTCCTCATACATTCGCCACGCAGCATTTGTACAGGATATTATTTATCCATACACAGCCTATTACCATCTCTGTAGGAGATCAGGAAAAATTCCCTGGCATATCCCGGATTCCTACCCTTTATTCAATAAATTTTTTATTTGTCAAACAAAGCCCCACCAGAGTTACAATATGGCTAGTTCTCAGGAATACAGCATAGTTTTCTCACTATATCGGTTACGCCCAAAGCGGCAGTTGGTGGTGTAGTTCTCAGGAATACGGCATAGTTTTCTCACTATATCGGTTACGCCCAAAGCGGCAGTTGGTGGTGTAGGTGTAGGAGTCGCTTCGGTTTTGTCCGGTCCGAACATTCATGTCGAATAACAAACCGAAACATTATTTCCTCCCTTGCAATTGCACAGCTTTCTACAAATTTCTATGTAGATCGTTCCATTGCCACCTGTATGCCGCACGCAAATCGTTTCTGGCTATGTAGCCGAAGCGAAATAATTTGGAGATAACTTCGCATTTCAAAACACATCGGGGTGAACGATATTTAAAAGAGGTTTATATGTTGTACAAAATGTGAAGACAATATTTAATATTTAAACTAACATAAAGATGGGTGCACGACTTCAAATTTTGGTGGTGTTTTGTGTGTAATCCAAAATATCAAATATTCACAACCATATTCCCACAGACAATATGTCAACAAACATAAGAAATATAGTCAGATTTTTCATGTCTGCTTCAACTTAAAGTTCAATTTCCATGTAAAACTTTGGAGAAAACTTGAAGTTTTACAGATGACATGACATTAAAACTCGATTTAAATGTCAAGCTTTGGCAAAACTTCAAGTTTTCTCCAAAGTTTTATGTAAGAATCAAACTTTAAATTGAAGCAGACATGGAAAATCTGATTATATTTATTATATTTGTTGACATATTGTCTGTGGGAATATGGTTGTGAATATTTGATATTTTGGATGACACACAAAACACCACCAAAATTTGAAGTCGTGCACCCATCTTTATGTCAGTTTAAATATTAAATATTGTCTTCACATTTTGTACAACATATAAACCTCTTTTAAATATCGTTCACCCCGATGTGAAAATGTGAGTGATGAAGTGCCTTGAAGTGCTCGGCTCAAAAAGTTCCTGAAAACATTGCAGGTACGTGCCTAGTGTAACGTAAGAACGTAATGATAGGACTTCGAAAACCTGCAATGCCAAATTTGCCTCTGACTTACCCGAGTAGTAGGACGGCAAAAACCTCTTGACCACGAACGAGACAACTTCAAGCCTGGCGCTCGCCAACGATGATCCGTCTACACGAAAGGCGCCACATAAACCTCAATCAACTCAACCTACAGCTCAGGTCGCTCATTACCCATCTCTTTGCTTGTCCAGAATACTCGTCATGCTCATTTAGCTCCTAAGTTAAGTTTCATTAGTGTGGCATGCGGCAGGTGTGCCCTCCACCGACCAAACCCCACTCGTCCGTCACCTTCGCTGCCCTCGTCCTTCTCCAGTGATTGAAGGTATGTTTTTGGCGCCCACCCGCTCGTACGGCTATCATCGTCGTTCTCCACCAAAGCCTGCCTTCCCTCCGCCAAATCCATCCTACATTATTTCTCCGACATGTTGTTACTGAGTTATTCAGCATCAATGTCTCCGGCCTCAACTGCATCTTCTCAGGTATGGGGAACTTAGAATTGTACTGCTCGTATCTTATCGGTATCATTGATGCATCATCACCAGATATCCTAAAATACGAGCCTGCACCAGTACCACCGCGATCATGATTCTCTGCCGCACCTCCGAGCTCGCTTTCCAGCCAAAATAATGATTAGTCCCCTACAGATTTGAACATTCTCGCACTGGTGAACGGCAACCCGAACAGCAATGATGACTTCGACATATTCGTCTTGAGATCCTTTGGAGTCGAAGTTGGACGAGCTTAGAACATAGAGACGTGTCTTTCTAATATGTTTGGGAATAAGTATTTCGTATGTCTCCATAATGTTCAGTGTTTGCTATATTCAAATTCACTTGCATTTTTCTTGAATCACCTTCCATGTTATGTCGTTTACTAAGTAGAACAAGGCTAAATGAACGATCTCACATCTTCCTGGTGAATGGGCGAATGCAGCAAGTGGTGGGAGATCCTCCAGAGGTCACGCTCTGGCTTGAGGGGTGCCCGTGAGGTTTCGAGGCAGCGCCAGACTTTGTGTGGTTGCTACATTATGATCGAGTCTCAAAAAATGTTACATTAAGCAGACCAAATGGCACACTTGGCAAGGCATGGGTTTCATAGGTGGACAGGAAGTAGATAGAAAAAACGTGAGGTGGTAATAAACAGAATCTCTTGTCTAGAGAAGTGCCTTTTACCCCAAAACTGCGAGATGCGGTAAAAAAAAATACAACCTACAATTACAAGCATTCCTTCGTAATATGATACATTGCACTAAGCTTCCCATTTCAAGTGCTGTTGAAAAATCGCCAATAGCCAGGGAGTAAGTGCACGAGGGTATACCATAGCTACAGGAATGAGTCAGTAAGTAGAATTTTCGGATTTGAGATCACTGACGCTGTATAGTTTGCACGATTGTTTATGGGCACCTGCAGTCCTATAAACCATGAATCTCGCCCCAATAATCGTTCCGTACGCTATGAATGCGATAGAAGAGACGAGATCTACCTTCCAAAGCCTGCTAAGGCAGAGTGACCAAAGGGGGATGCCAATCATCATGGATGTGCGTGCAAAGTCAGGGAACAAAGTGACGAGAGTGCGTCTTCCTGCCAATCGATCTCCCTCCTCATCTTTGAAATCTTGTGCGTGAATCGTCGTTGCAAACACTACAGAGCTGAAGGCGACTGCATGTACCCAAATGCTATCAATGCTAGACCCTGGTTATTAAAATATAAATGCCAGTCAGCGAAAAAGCTTGTTTATGTCCTCTAGCACGGCCCACGTACCAATCACGGCCGTTGCGCCCAGTTCAAGAGTTGCATATGCGATAGTCGTCAATAAATTCTTCAAGAGACCAGTTTCATCGCCACCAAACTCGTTGTACCAGATGCTGAGGGCTTCTAGAAAAGCGCTACAAGCAAGAGCCTTGATGCCATACATGGCAGAAAATATCAGGCAGACTGGCAGTAGCAGCCAGCGCACATCTGCCGCATTTTGGGCAGTGATAAGACCGGCAGGAAGAGGGCGATAGGGCTTGTTTTTCCGGTCCTCCTCTGGATCCTGCATCTGGTTATATATGTCATGTTTCAGGAGGTGTAGCCATATCCATATAATGATGTCCGGCACGCGAGTCACATCGGGATGGGGAGCAGCTGCGAAGGTAGACAGAGTCTGATGCAAAAATTGATGTCAAGGAATATACAAGCCACATGTAGGAGCACGCACGATTGGGATAAGAACTGTCAACACATCGGACTTTGTGAACAAGAATAATGTCATGATGTGCCGGCTGATACGACGACCGCTCTCTAGGGCTTGAGACAGCATGGTCTGATTGTTTGCTCATTTTTGAGCCGGCAGTCAGCACTTATATAGCCTGACGTGCTGCTAAAGACTTGAAGTTACCAAATAACTAGCATGAAAACTCACCGAAATGCGAATGGCAGTGGCAGTGATCCTACAAGCCGAATAGGTCACCCTCAGGCTTGCTTCCGGGAGATAAAAAAGCATTCCCGACCTTGTGCAGTTCACGTAAGTATCCAAGCGTGTTACGAGTAGAATACTACCACAGTGCCACACCGCCGGGTCCCAACTTGCCAAGTAGTAAGGTACTAGCTAGTATAAAGTTGATGGCCAGAGTTCATCTCCATTTTCAAAATTCGGTGCAGAGTAGTTCTTCATAAGAACCGCAAAGGATGTTTTTCCGCCAAAAAGTGAAATTACAATCCAGGGGCTTGTGCACAGAATACAGAATTACAGTGTTTTGTAAACGTTCACTCCGTTTGGACACAACTCAATTGGTAAATTTGTATATATTTGGTTGGCGTAAAATTTGCAACTTGCATGCTGTGGCGTTGACTATTGAGCGACTCTGGGCTCGAAGACAACGACATCGCTCGGCGAAGAATGTTCTCGGTCGAATGACAGGCTATTTGGGGTTCTCCTGTCACTAGTGGTCAATTGATAGTAACACCGCCACACATCCTCAAACACGCTGCATGAAGTTTTATCAATCGTACAGCATGCATCAAGCCTTGTTGGGGCAATCACACTGCATGTATTCTGTTTGCCCCCCTTTGAGCTGATAGTCTTCATTCTTAGATCCTGTGACATCCCAATGTAGTCAATCTCGGGCACAAGGCTCCCAATTGGAGCGTAGCTCCGACTTCATTGGTAGATATTGCACAGATATACTACATGAATTCCCCATATCCCTGCGGGATTTTTGCTGTATCCACGTGAACTATGTCGTCCATGAGGCTTTTTGACGGCAGACATGAACTTTGTCTCTACAAGGTATGGTATACAACTAAGTAGCTGACAGGGCCAATCTTACCAATATCTCCCAGTGGAGTAGGCTCGGACACGTGGTGGACGATAGGTTACAGTTCGACTTGCCGACTGATGTGAAAGCCCACCATCACTCTTTTACCAGGCCAAGGTCGGCCCATGCTACTCGAGTCTCAGTCTGCAAGCAAGGGAATTGTGTTGAGAGAGTGGCACGGATTTACAGGTACGCCTGTAATGTTAGATCAAACCGTAACCTGTCGTCCACTATACGAATAGATTTTGTTGTCTTGTCATCCGCATATCAGGTGAATACAATCGTTGCGAAAAAAATCCCACCAAACCTCATTCATTTATAAGCTCCTGCTATTCTCTTGAACGATGCAGTGCGCTGAGGCGACAGAATCAGACTGAGGCGCACCAGCTCCTCATTGCCATGGAGCTTTCTAGGGAAATTGTCTAATTGTCTTGTGAGTTTCGCTCATCAGAAAGGCGTGTGTGAATAGGCGTTATAATTACAGTACGCGATAGGCCAGTTCTTCGGAGGGTAACACGCCCAATATGCCACTAAGACGGTACGGATTCTTCAGGAGAGCTAGCAGCAGCTACCCGACTTCGGAACATTGGCAAGTGTAGGCTCTGACTCTCCGCGCAAAACGCTCTGTATGATCTTATGACTCTGATGAGGAAACCTTTCTCCTAAGCATCATGAGCCTCGTGTACTCCCGAAATCCTTGACATCCAGAAATGGCGCGATCGTCACCCTCCCAGAGCTCTGAAACGACGTGAGGCAGCGAACTCTCCGTGCTACAAACGCCTCCACGACATTGACGCATAGGATTTTATACTTGGTATATACTTGTACGTTTTGTCTACCATAGGGCATCGCCCCAACGAACATAAAACAAGCTAAGACATGTCGTAAACACGATTAGTGTTTGAAGAGAACAACTAGATATTATCAATGCCTAAGACACGAAACACCCTAGAGAAATATAATAAGAGACGGCGGGACAACCTCTCATGAATGTTTTCTCCAGTGCGTGTGTCTCCAGTCTCATCATCATGCACTTAGTAGTTAGCATCTTGCTCGATGAGCTCAAGGGCAATTGCGGAGCGAGGCTTGATAGAACACTTGAAGGGTTTAGGGTGGCTGGGAGTGTGTATATTCAAACTAGCGCGGAACGTGACAAAATATGCGACATACCTGGATGAAGCTGTGGATGGATCGACTTCAGGTGTGATCTCGGCGCCATGCTCGACGACCTTTGAAATATCAAACGCAGCCAGTGACATTGCAGTAGATATCCAAATGAAGGCATCGGCGAGATGGAGGGCTGTCAATGTCCAATGAAAAGTTAGCAGCTCAAATATTTGTTTGTCGATTGACGCGAGTCGGACACACCTGGGCAAATACTATGGAGCAAGAATTTAGCGTCCACGCTCAAAACCTGCTATATCCTTACCGTCTACCGAATCCAAAGCAGGCTATGCGAGGCTCCATCTCGGGTTCCTTTCCATCCTTAGCTAAGAAGCGTTCAGGATTGAATTGCGAGGGGTTAGCATATGTCCGTGGATCGTTGAGCATGAACCTGTCGCAACTCAGAACATTTTATTCTGTTCATCATTGGAAGGGGAGGACTAACCAAATGTTAGGTAAGATTATGGAGCCTTTTGGAATATAGTACCCGTCATGGATATCGTCTTTAGTCACACAGTGAGGGAGAGCTGTCATCGGGATACCCGTCATCAAATAGTGGTGTCATAAATGAGATCTCGATACCTGCAGGAGAGACAACATGCCAGCGGAGGATTTCTTTGACAAGGGCATTAGTATAGGGGAGGGAGTCGCGGTCGGCAAAGGTGGGGAAACGGTCAGGACCGACAACTGCGTCTATTTCAGCCTGAGCTTTCTTCTGCACATCAGGGAAAAGTGTCATAGCTAAAAAAAGCGAGTATAATGCAGCAATAGTCTGAGGAAGTAGGTTAGGTGCTCTCAAAAGATGTTATAGGGAAGGACAAACCGTATCGGTACCACCGGTGATTAGGGAAAAAGCAGACCACTTCACACCGTGTTCCTCTTCCGCAGACACATCACTGCCTTCCAAGAGAGTCGAGGTAAAAGACACAGGGGCGATGCCGGCAACCTGGAAGATTTGAACTTCAATTCATGATCGCAAAACTGCAAATTGGTCACCATTTGGTCCTTGACAAACTTGTGGGGTGCAGAAACCATCTCTTCAAGGTTGTCACGCCCTTTATGTGCCATGCGCTTGAAGCCAGCACCAGGGAACCAAGCGGGGACCTTTGTCACTGAGATTGCCAGATCATCAGAAGCCAGCGCAAACGTTAGAATAATGTAGCTCACAGAATGGCAAGATATCAATCATAACGGCACTGGGAGCTGCGGCCTGCGAGGCATAGGTCGTAACGCGGTTTGCAAGGTCAATGAAAGGATCATTGTTCTCTTGCACTTCATAACCATGAGAGATGCGCAGAATGACAGTGCCAACAGTACTATAGTAAAAATTTAAGATAGTATCACTGCGAGGATAAATAATACATACTGTCGAATATGCTCCTGCAGTTGGTCGGGTTTTGCAAGCACGCGCTTCAGAAACCGGCGAATTTCAACCTCCTCGCTCATATTGTATACTTCCGCTGCGGCACGAGTTCCAATGACCTGATGGAAGTTCCTGCGCTGCAGGCGAAAACGGTCACCATAAGCCATGAAAGGTAAAGCGTTCTTCCAGCCAACAAGTTCGCCAAGTATGGGAAGAACAGGACGATCAGAGTACACAATGCTTTTACTGTCCATCGTTTCCATTGCAGCCTTGACAGAGTTCAGCACAATGATGTGCCGACCCAGAATCTTGATATGCGTGATATCACCTGCAGAAAATATTTTTGAAAATGCGTGACTTCGGAAAAAGGAAGGCACTCGCCATATTTCTGACCCCACTCAGTAAACGTGAGCCAGGGCTTGACGCGAGGCATGTCTATAATATTGCCAATGAGAGGCCACCCCGGAGGACCAGGTGGATATGGTGCAGGATTCTTCTTGATGACCACCTGCTTTACCAGATAGACTCCGGCTGTAACACCGGTAAGGCATAGTATGTCTAGCCAAGTAACGTTGGTGGTTGTCAACATGGTCTACTACTTGCAAAGGATGAGCAACTCAAGAACGGGGATCGAATTGATTGCTAGATAAGAACAAGATGACGTACTCAATCGAGTTGCTTATTATACATGTTGTTTTATCATCACCGGCGGTTGGACCGGGCATGGACTGCAAGGAACCCCGGGGCCAAACCTCTATAGCGAGAGGCTGCAACTTGCTCTCTCATATATGATCGAGGACAGACTACAACATCAGAGAACCGATGAGTCCTTGGTATGGTAGCCGTGGGAACTATAGGAGGACATAATCCTGCTTCGCTAAAGATGGCTATGTATAGCGGGAGAAATTTGAGTTGTCGGTATATAGCCATGAATGTCTGAAAGTCTAGTTTACCATGAGGAGTTTGCGACCTTGTTGCGATATTGCACCATCGTGGCAGGCAAGTTATAATAGCGTAGCTAGGTCCTACATCTTGAGCAATATAAAATTCCCTTCGTTATGTTTTGAACTACAAGATCATTCAAGACTTTATCCCGGAAAACACCATTAGCGCTTGTCATCTCACCTAAATTCGTATGAGAGCTCCCGGCATGGTCACGACTTTTGTTCATCCCGGTCAGCAAGGTATGACAGTCTAATTAGGACCCATTTGTTAGGAAATGTAATATTCCCTCTTTTTTGTTGTATTTACAAGGCTTTCTCGGGAGATTTAAATATTGCTTCGATTGCAATGATATCCGAGACCATCCACTTATTGTTTGGCTTCTATTTACAACGGATTTCTTCAGTCGCGTGCATATAACGCGAGTCGCAGCACCGTTTGCTATTGAGCTATATTCTTTCCTAGTCAGACCAAAAGAGAAGAAAGACAGTTGCTTACAATGATATCCGAGATCATTCACTCATTATCTGGCTTTGACTTACACCAGATTTCTTCAGGCACGTGCATATACCGTGAGTCGCAGCACTGTTTGCAACTGAAGCATAATCTCCCCAAAAGAAACGGAAGGCAGTTGTTCCGTCTATATTATGACCAACTCGGGCAAATGAAATTTGCGACTGGCCCAGTGGCGATCATCAAGTTCCTATTTATTTTTCTACTCAAGCGTTCATCCTAGATGAGAGTTGATTCCTCCAGCACAACGGTAAGCGAAGGCTTAATCAGTGCTCTATCGAGATAGTGAATAGAAAAACGGCTCTATTACTGATAAATCCGCGCGTCATGTTTGAATGAATTAGATTTCTTTGACGATCCAGCAGCATCGAACCATTGAGTCACTTATATGCATAACGCGCGTGTGCAACGCGTGTAGATCAGAATATTGAGACAGTGCTGGGGCGGTAACCTGAAGTTCACAAAACAGGTGGTAGCTGAATCGAAATATGCGATGAACGCGAAATGTAAGCTATGAGTCAATGCAGGGACAGGAATGTACCTAAGACAACAAGTGATAAACTAGTATATTAGAGATAACGAAGGGGTGACGAAGTTGGAATGACTCAGGGAGGAAGGAGGATGCAACACCACCTCCGGATGTCGTGGCACCCATACCTTGAACGCCTCGCTTGGTGTGCAAGTTCTTCTTCGCCATTTTGGCCTTCAGAATTGCACCTTTCTCGATGTCGATACAGCGGCCTTGAAGCAGATCTCTCGCCTCAAGCGCCTCCTGACGAGTACGGAACTTGGCGAAACCTATTATCTCTTTTCGAGGTGGCTGGCCACCACGGAGAGGGAGGCCAGATGGAGCTGTCGAAGTCGTGCCGCTGGGCGACCCGTACGCCGTATAATCCTTATTTGGGATCTTGAGGATCGCAGCCTCAAAGCCGGAGGAGAACGTAAACATATTCTGGAACTCGCGTTCCTACACACAAGCTGTCAGAAGTTGCGGGACGTCACAAATGGCTCAGCACATACCTGCATGTCATCAGGAAATCCAACCACAAAGATGGTCGAAATCTCTTCTGGCCGCCCACTATCAACACTCTGCGACTCGACGTTTAAATTCATCTGCCCAACGCTACCCATGAGCCTCACACTGCTTGCTAACACTGCTGCAGTGCCACCGTTAGACTGTAAGTGGAGATCATACGGCGTCCGGCTTTGAAGGCGTATGTTGTTCAGGAAAGGCATCTGAGAAATAGAGTTACTGTGCGATAGTGGATGATATGCGTCGTGGACCTGCGATTGTTGTTGGCACTTAGAGAAACGCGCTTGGGGGAACGGGTTTGAGGAAGAAAATTGTTGACGAACCTTACTGCCTCCTAGCGGAGAGTTGGTTCCGAAATCATACCCGCTACGTGACTCGAATGCGACAGACCCAAAAGCGCTCTGCTGAAATTGCTGAGAGAGTTGGTGCTGCAAATTTAAGGGCTGATGAGAACGAAATATCTCGTTTGTATTTGAATAAGGTTGCGAGGGGAGACCGTCTGGCTGATGCAGGCGAGATGAGCCGGTGGCATCAGTACTAGAAGTATTGCCACCACAGTTTGAGTGAGACACGGCAAGTTGCGGAGATGGATGAATGGGTTCTGCGTTTCCTTGGGCTTCGAGAGAATCGAGCAACGAACGATTGATGAAGTTCTCTTCGAACTTTTGGATGGACGCTATGGACATCAGATTAGTGTAGAATGGTACGCGGGGTAATTGCAAACAAGTATGTGGGACGGTTAAGACTAGAAATTGAAATTGGACACCAACAGCCGTATAATGTTATGAATGTGGTACGTGGGAGGTAGCGTGAGATAGTGATTGCTGAAATGGCTACAATCGAAAAAACAAGCTGGCAAAGAGGTGTGTTTATGTGCTATGAGTGATTGCGAACGACACTAGAGATAGGGTAGATGGCGTCGGCGATGAACGTGACAGCGATGAGCAACGGCGGTCGATGTGCGTGACGCGTGGGAGTAGATAAATAAGAGAGGTCAACACCAAGCGGGCGACGAAGCGACAGCAGATGAAGCGCGCGAAAAGGTGGCAGACAATGAGCGGAGTGATTATGTTGTCGTCGTGGACGATGAGGGAGGGCGTCTCTTCGCTGTAGTTTTTGACGTGGAAGGTGCGATCGAGGTTGTCAAAGTGTGAAGGAATAAAAGGAAGCGCGCGGGGCCAACCTAGAACCCCCATCAGCATAATTCTGCCATCGATCATCACATAATCAAATTTGACCTTACCGTACAGAAGAAACAAGCTTTGAAAGCTTGAGTGAGTGAAATTGAAGCGATGGAGTACGCGTTTGGGAGAGAGTTCTAGAAACAAAAATCATCGTCGAAGTCATCATCCTCCGAGTCATCCCTACACTCTTCACTGTCTTCCTCATCCAGCTCCCCATCACTAAGCTCGTCACCGGATTCTTCAAGACCCCCGATGTCATCATCCCCTTGCACACCCTCGCATTCTTCAAGACCCTCGACATCATCCTCACCCTCCCCGTTGACGACCTCGATGGTGTCGGCCCTTGTCACTGAATAAGAGCCGAGAGTGTCCTGGGCAATCTTCCAAAGTGTGGCTGGATGTCCAATACCGAGGTGAGTGTAACGTACAAACATATCCCTATCAACAAATCTTGCGCAAAAGTTTGAGAATTAAGGCGCCAGGGAAAAAGATATCCCCACTTACATCCCAACATAGTATTCCTCCCAGTCGTCGAGCTCCCCCATCGGACGTGCCAATGATTTTCCATGGCGAAGCGTGCTTGTACCACGTTTCGAGGCAAACGCAGGAATAAGATGGGCTCCTCGGATCACTTGCCCCGGATCAAGGAAGCCGAACGCATCCAAGTCCAATTCCTCCACAAAAATCTTTT